TTGTCCAAGTTTTTCACCTCTAAATTTTCGTTTACCTATATGTACACTGTACAGTCACACAAATCTTTTTAATTTTTAAAGAAGTTTAAAAATGAATATAACATTTTTCGTCAAAATCAAAAAAGCTCACATTTATCGAACTTTTTAAAACAAAAATTGAATCACATATTACCTTGAACTACTAATGACTGTGGGTTAGAGGATGGCATGTCTCCAGGTCGTAGTCTTTTAGAAGCCCTATTAAGGTCATCAGGAGAAAAATGGCCTGAGCATATCACACTCCATTTTTTCGGATTCCAGGAGGAAGGTTGGCCTGTAAATTTCGCCCATGCTACTCTTAGGTCATTTTTCGGGAACGAAAAAAAGATTTTATCTTGACAAGTATTATTATTTTTACAAGATATTACACTGCAGTACCTCAAGTTCATACATCAAAGGGCCCACTATTTACCAACACAGCTGTACAACTTTCCTACTCTTTGGACCCTGAACTTTCCTTCAGATATTAATTCTTTGAAAACAAAAAAATCTATTTTGAATAAAAAAAAAATAAAAAATTGTATAAAAGAAACATTAAAAAAAACATAAATATGCCCCTAAAATAAACACAACAAATCTAGGGCCCGGTTTGCTACATCAGCTGGTAGGCCCATGGAAAAAATTACTAAAATAAAATTTGTACTGTGGCCGAGTTCAGTGTAGATAAATAGATAGAATCATATCTTTAAGCGGGCCGTGAATGGAAATAATGCAAAACTAGAATAAAACGATACATAGAATAGTGCTTCTATATAAATACTAAATATTTTTGTTCCAATAAAAATTCGATTTGGTATGTTAGATCTGAAATGCAGAATTTTTCTTGCTTTCGGATAGTTTTTGCTTTGGCATATTTAAAGATCTACTCGATAAAAAGCGTAATTTATCAATACTTTTGCTTACCTAAAATCTTTACTGAATGAATTTAGAAAAAGTATGTCGGTAAATGAAACTTTTAGAAAGGTATTTGAGATCATCCAGAACAAAAAGTTTTCTCAAAAATTTAGCTTTATCAGGTTTATAGGACGTTTAAAAATGTATGCTATAAACTCAATTCTGACAACCCTTAAGCATTAGTATGTCCCAGGGTTAGATATGACGCCTTCTTTGACAAATTGTACATTTTTGAAAGCTCTCTAAAAGGCAAATTCATTTTCGAGGAAAAAGGAGTTTGGAAAAAGTTCAGCCTAAGAGTTATAGATTTGCAAAAAAATATAGTTCATTTTTGCAAAATGATAATTCCATTTTTCAGCAAACTGTAAAATTCTAAAGTTAAAAATCATATATGTATAGCTGCACAGTTCTTTAACCCCTCCCCCTGAGATTTAGGGATAAAATTAATTTATATAAACGTCGAGACATTTCAGCTTTCTAGCCCTAATAGTTTTAAAGCTACATCCAAAAACCATGGTGGGCCAATCCCCCCCCCCCCTCGAAGCAGAAATAGGGTCAAGGCACAGAGGGGGGGGGGCACCCCTCCCACAGCTTAGTCCCCCCTGGACCGGGGAAATCTATGGATTTCAGGGGGTTTTAAGGTCTCAACGGGTGCTGAGCTCCCCCTGTAAAGAAAAAAATTTAATGTTCCCCCTGGAAAAATTCGTGAATACGCCCCTGACCCCTCCTTCTGTGTAATAATCCTATTTCCACCTCCAAACGTATGTAATAAATAACCTATAGGTATTAATGATCTTACATCATATTACATGGTCCAATATTGATGATATAATGTTTAATGTGACTTTATAATTATGAAATAATTAAATACTAATGGAATGACAAAACTGGAAATAATGGAAAATGTATCACATATCAATATATCTATTCTGGATAATATAGTCCTACTTTAGCATTTAATTGAGCTGGCTGACCCCAAAAGTATATATTTAATCAAGAATGTAATAAAAGAATTTATGCAATATCGATGACCCTTCAATAATGATCGTTAAAAACCCTTTTAAAGAGAAAATCATTTTTTGGTTGGGAGATCCAAGGTCAAAAACATTTAGGTTATTCATATAATTTATAATATAATAAAATTTATTTCCCAAGCAATGTTCCCCGGGCAACATTTAAGTTAACATTTAACATTTAAGTTTAACACATGTTAATAACACGGTTTTATAAAATTGTAAAGTTAAAATTATAATATTTAAAAAAAAATTCGCGGATTTTCAAGAATTTAAATTTTAAAACACATTTTTAAAAATTTTTATCATTCATAAACCTTCCCTGTGGTCATGTGATGTCCCACAAAAAATTTGGGCCCGATCGGTTCAGCCGTTTTGACGTTTATTGGATACAAACAAACAAACAGACAGACAATTCAAATTTACATATAGATTGATATTATTAATTTAAATGCAATTTATAAATTACTTTTAATTATTTAGATTTGCTTGGTGATGGTTGCGGAACTAGCTGCAGAGAAGATTAAGAATGAGAAAATTACATGCAACTTAATTTATTAGAATTTTATCATGTAAATAAATGTTAAAACAATATATTTTGTGGTTTAGTTAAGGCAACCCTGGGGTCGACATCAAGAACCATATTTAGGATGATCCTGACTGGTTCTTTACAAGATGCTGTCAAGTCAGGGTGTAAACAGGTTTCCCTAAAAAAATATTTTTTTTAGAGGGGGCAAGTTTTACCCTCCTAAATCACCATTAGTTCCAGTTACCATTAGTTCCAGTTACCATTAGTTCCAGTTACCATTAGTTCCAGTTACCATTAGTTCCAGTTACCATTAGTTCCAGTTAAGAAGAAGGATTGAAGGACAAGATGGGTGACATATCTAAGACTTTTAAATTCTGCAACAGTGAAGGATGATATCCATAAACAAACATTCAAGAGAATCTGCAGAAGTAGAAGGGTGCCACAATATTCACATCAATCGACAATTGTGGCGCCTATCACTGTGTACAAAGCAGGGATCAAGATACAGCCAAAAAATACAAAAAAAATTTCATTCGGAAGTAGAGAACTTAAGACATAAAGTGAGTAAAGATGGAGTGATAATGTTGGAGGACTATATCAAGAACGTACAGAAATAGCCACGCCCAACTAGTTGTAGGAAGATGTCCTCGTTCCTCAGATTTACAGGATATTACAGGAGTTTCATTCCCAGGTGGTCAGATGACATGGAGAAAGATTCTAAGGCATTAAAAAGTGGAGTTCACTATATGAAAGATCCAGGCATATCCAGACTTTGACTCCAACGAGCCCTTGATTATCACCACAGACTGGTCGGCTTTGAATTTTGCTGGTGTACTGTCTCAGAAACAGTATGCGATTTTTTATATTTGGCAACTTTTGCTGCTTAGTAAACGATTTTTAGTTCAAATTTTATCGTGTACACAATGCACATACTCTAGCTTTCTAATTTCTAAATTTTTGCAAGCTAAGGGAGTAAACCTTTGAAATTCCAAAATTAGATTTTTTTTATCTAATAGAATTCATAGTTTGATAAGCTGAAGTCTACGACACGAGGTTGAAAAGATATTGGGATTAGAAAATTTGAGTTTGTGGCAAAGACTCAGTTCCTTGAACAGATTTATAGAATCAAATTATAAATAATAAATTTAAATTCATAAAGAATTTATAATGTAGAAAGTACTGTTTACTTTTCAACAGTTGGTGTACCCATGTAATCAATACAGTCTTTCAGTATTAATGTAAAACTGAAGGTAGTTAGTTACGTATTAAATTGAATTTAATACAATCCCAGTTGGGCTATTCTGTCTTATATTAATGGGGGGGGGGAGGGGGTAGAGGTAAGGGGAATGAAATAAACCTTTGTATTCCAATTTTCCTAGGGCCTCTCGTTTATAAAATTTTAGACACCGGGATCAGATCTTATTGTGTTTCCTCATTGACAAAAAGGGGCAATTAAGAAACTTAAAACTTGGCACAAAGTAAACTATAATCTTTATATCTTTAAGAACTGATATATTTTTGTTTATATTTAAACTTTTTACATTTATACCTTTGATATTTGAACCTTTAATTTTTAAACCTTTGACATTTAAACCTTTGGTTTTTAACCCTTTTTAATTCACTAATATATGAGCTCTGCTATACTTAATAAACAAGTTTGAAATATCATAGATTTACTCTTCAGGTTTCAAAGAAATAAAATTAAAAAGTTAAAGTTTTCGGCAAGTAAGCAGTACCTTAAAGTATTTATAAAATCTATGTGAATTCACAGTTTTCATAACTATCTTTAAATTATAAAAAATACTTTTTTTAGATGAGGTTGGATTTAAAACTATTACTTACTGCAACTGTAATTGTACTATGTATTGCATACACGATTTATACTACAGGTACAACATTATGGGTTACAAAAATCAAAAAAAAAGTTTTTATTAATTTTTATAAAATTGATGGTGTAATGCATAGATATAAATTGATGTAAATTCCAAACACCTGCAGCCTTCTATAAGCAGTTTTTCACTATTTTTTTTACTGAAAAGATATTTGTAATTTTCATATTCCCCAGGACTTCTTATCTTGTTACTATTGTTAGAGCTACAAAAAAAGTATTGAGAAGCAAAAAAACCTTTTTACACTTTTTAAAGCATTTATTTTTTGAAATAATCTTTTGGAGGATCATTTATATTTTGGGTTAAATACTTCTTGTAAAAAATACAACCTAACGTCATAGTCTTTAGAATTTTTGAACTATGAATTCTGTTTAATCAAATAATTTAAGTTTAAAATATCATAGATTGCAAAGATATAGGGATGGGAAAGTTGGAGGTAAGGTTTCCAACGAAATTTTTGTTGAACAAAAGTGACAGAGGAGATTTGTCAACAATGTACGCGAATGTTGCGAATGTTGCGCGCACATGCCCCGTAAAATTCCAAAATAGAGAGAGGGTGATTGAATTTTGTAGATCCAGAAATTAGTATTTATTTAGGGTTAGGTTAATACATTTTCTGGGCCGAGCACTGCGGCTAGGACAGGCTAGGGGCAAATGGCAAATGCCAGAAGAATAGGGCTCAAGCAGATCTCCTTGACGAAATACAACAGTGCAGTTTCAAAGGTGGTCTTATAATTACCAGTCCTAAATGGAGAAACGCTGTGTCAAATCCCAGGAAGAATAGATGAAAGAGAAAAAATCTGTCACAGATCATGCATGTGAATTGCTTCGACCGAAATATGACGTCATGATTCAAGAACTTTGGAATCTTTTAAACCCTGAGCATCAAGGAAATATGTGTTTTTTTTCACATTAAGTTAGTGAGTTATTTGTGTTTTTAAGATCGTTATTTTTACAATTTCTTAATTTTCTTATTAATTAGTTTGAATTACAAATGAAGTTATTATTAACAATCTTTTTCCTTGTCCCAAGCTTTGTTTCCGGTTCTATTCTCCAAACTATTTACGCCATGTCAACCATATAGAAAATTTAAATAGATCATGAACCAGGTTAATGTGTCTATTAAAGCATGTACAAAAAAAACGTATTTTCGACCTAAAATCTACATTTCAAGATTCTATTCAAAGCAATATTCATAATTGTCAATACTTTGAAGAGCTTGAGTTAAGCAATAAACTTAAAAGTCTGGAAACAAATCAGTTCAGTGTTAAATCCACAAACATTCAAAGTCTTTCACAGAAATTTGAAGAATTTAAAACTTTTTTAACTACAACCTTTAACCAATTTAATCCATCAGTCATTGCACTACATACAAGAAATATGGAATAAACCTCAGTACTTTGAATTTATTTTTAGAAAATTACCACCCTTTACAGTTTAAAATTAAAGATAAACAGGGATTAAATAACAATTCAGGGGGAGATGTGGGACTTTGGGTGTAAAATTCTTTTTATTTTGAACCATTTGTGTGTATATTAATCTTTATTCCAGGGGTTTTTGAATCTCAATTTATTAAAACTGGCAAGAACAAATATATCCTTGATGGGTAATAAATATCGTCCAAATAGTGCTCCTTGTGCAAACATTAAATACTTTATTCAAACATTAAGTGATATATTCTCTAAGATTAAGTCTGATCCAAATTTTAAGAATGTAAATGAAGCAATCTTAGTAGGGGATATGAACATAAAATTATTAAACCACACAAATCATATTGATACAGGACTTTACCTAAGATACGCTTCTTGAAAATAGTTTTTTATCACTTACAAACTCTGCTGATGATGCTTAAGATTCAGGAATTATCCTTTTAGATATTTCTGATCATTTTTCAGTTTTTTTATATTCGTCATTTTAAAGACAAATCTGCTAAAGTTAATCCCGTAAAAAATTTGATGCTCCCCTTCTATTTCAAGGTTTAAAACGATGTTGGAAAATGAAAACTGGGACATTGAACAAGAAACTTCCTTTAACGTCTTTTTAGAAACTACAGAAAACTGTTTGAGTCTTAATTTCCTGAAAAGAAAATGATTTCTGCAAATAAGAGTAAAGCATATAGTCCTTGGATGTCGGAAGCCTTGATTATCTCCAGAAAAAAAACTGATTTTTTAATAAAAATTGAGTAAACCCTGTTCTGAAACTAAAATGAGATTTAAAGAGTTCAATACAGTTTATACGCAGCTTGTGAGGGTAGCAAGGAGAACATATTATGATGACAAATTTAAAGAATATATTAAAGATGGTAAACAAAACTTGGCAATCAAATAGTGTTTTAGGAAGGGGGCGGAAATCAATAAATACCTCTGATACTTTTGTGAACAAAAGTATAGTTCTTTCAGGGGCAGCTGAAATATATTAAGGTTTCAATACGTTTTTCTCTAGTATAGGCCCTAAACTAGCAAAGAATATCCCAAACTCAACCAAAAAAAGTTTCTGATTATCTCTCAGAAAAAAAAACTGATAAAAACTTTGTTTTTGCAAATATGACCCCTGATATAATAAATGATGCTCTTAGTAAATTAAAGGGAGTGTTCGTGAAAAATGAAAGGGGGTATAGGCTTACGGCGATAAATAATCGCTTTTGATCACTACTTATCTTTCTTATATCTGTTGCGTCTATAATGAGCAAATTGTTAAAAACGTCTCATACCGAAGAACGTAGATTCCTTACAAATTCAGAAAGTTGCAACATACGACTCAGATCGTAACAAAATCAATTTAATTCCAAACAAAGCATTTGGATATTACAACTTATAGTCATCAATTATTTTTTGACGCATTCGTATATAGTTAATATTTCATAATATTTTTTACTTTCTATGATCTGAGAATGACTTTTGAAAACATTCATTCCTGTTTCGAGGATTTTGATAATGAAGACGACATTTTCCATATTTTCCGGGAATGCGCCAGTCGTGAAAACAAGTTGTAAGGGAAATAGTAATTTTAAAAAACACAAAATAAAAAATATTATGAAATATCAACTATATACAAATGCGTCGAAAAATAATCAATGACTATAGGATTTAATATCTAAATTATTTGTTTGATATTAATTTGATTTTTTACGACCTAAGTCGTATGTTCCAACTTCCTTAATTTGTATGAACGCGCTTCGTTCTTCGGTATGAGACGTTTTTAACAATTTTCTCCATATAGACGCAACAGATAGAAGTAAGATTAGTAGCGATCAGAAGCGATTATTTATTTCGCGAACACTCCCTTTAAAATATAAAAACAGCTCTGGTCCAGATAACATTTCTACAAACCTATTAAAGTCCATAATGCCAAGTATCATGGGTCCTATCTGCCATTTTCATAATTTTCTCGTTTAAAACAGGTTATATTCCAACCATCCTTAAAACTGATAAAATCGTTCCAGTCTATAAAACTGGAAAATCTGATAAATTTGCAAATTACAATTAGTTTTCTTTCATCTTTTTCAAAACTTTTAGAAAAAGTAGCGGGAAATCAAATCATGAAATATCTAAATAAGTTTTAACTTCTCTGTAAGTACCAGTATGGGTTCAGGGCTAAGCATAACACTACCCAGCCTTTAATCTAGATGAAATTTACCAAGCCTTAAATAAACCGGAATCTGAGTAAACTGTAGGAATTTTCATTGATTTAACTAAAGCTTTTGACACTTGTAATATATAGATATACAACTCAAAAAGTTGGATCATTATGGATTCAGAGGAATATCCAATCAGTGGTTTGAAAATTATTTAAAGGGAAGAAAGCAGTTTATTTCAATCAAGGGTGTAAACTCCTCTCTTGAAGATATACTTTGTGGAGTTCCTCAGGGGTCATTATTAGGCCCAATTTTATTCCTAATTCTCATAACTGACCTTCTGCAAACGCATCAAAATTGTTAACTATACTTTTTGCTGATGATAAAACATTCCAATATTCTTTGGAAAATCTAAAAAGTCTATATGATTTTGCAAATTTTGAGCTTTCAAAAATTGCAGACTGGTTTAAAGCAAATAAACTGACAAACTGACATTAAATGCCTCTACGACAAATTATATATTTTTCAGAAGAAAACAAAAGTTCTGGTAGATGCATCACTTAAACTTTTTATCTAAAATAAGGAAATAAATAGAATATGTGCTGTAAAAATGAATCCTTTAAATTTGTGGGAATATACATCTGATGAAAACCTAACTTGGAATCACCATATTAAAGCTGCAAAAAACAAAGCATGTAGCCGTTAACGATTTCTTTAACCAATAAAATTTTTTTTCGGCACTTCATGACGTTAATAATGTAAAAGACCACTGGAGCTGTTAACAATTGTTGAAAATTTTCCGTAAAAGCCATTGATAAAATTGAGATCTTGAACTAACATTAATTAAAAAAAGGTAAATGCCATCAACGAAACGAACGTTCCGTTCTTAACTTTGAAATTAACGACTACATTAAATTTCTCTTTTTTTAATGGATGGAACTAATCGTTGACTAAACGGCAAGAAAAAGTTGGACCCTATATGTATGTTTCGTTGGAGCCTTCAGAAAATAGATATTTATAGATGATAGATAATAATAGAAAATTGCTTATGTGAATTACAAAAATGACAAGCATTTGTTCGCATTTTGACTTTTGAATTTTGCGAAAACTGTAGGATATTTCAAACGATAGTTTAAAACTTTTATTGAAATTTGAACGAATTTTCCGAATATAGTGAAAATTGTCGTTTTCGTTTTTCTAACATTTAAATAAGTTTTGTTCAGGATTACAGAAAGACAAGAACAATAAGAAAGATTTCCTAATGGATTTAAACTCTTATATTTCGGAAATCCGCGATTCACCACGTTATCGTAAGATTTCAGAATTAAAGGGACTGTCTAAATAATTTTGATGATTTCAAAAAATGTGATTTCTTCTCTATAACTATTTTTGATGTTTCTCCAGTAATATATGTCATTTTTCTAACTGAGCTTTCTTTATATACATAACAAGGCCAGTTCCTAGTCAAATGCTTTAAAGTGAATAAACTTTTTGATTTAATATCTGAATTGTTCTCAACCGTTTGGGGTTTATGTATATTTCCATAATAAGTCTGTGTTTAAATGATATGTATGTTTTCTTTAAAAATGATTAAAAAAATATTCTTTGAATCAGTTTCTGTGATTTTCAGTTTAATTCGAAGTGTCCCTCATGCTATAAGATGACAGTGCTCGAATCACAATAGTACTCTTATAATCTTTATCTGATCAATAATTAAAAAAATTTTGTATTTAAATTATGATAAATCACATATTTTTTCTTAGAATTTAGAAATGCGCAAATAACTTCTATAGAAAACCAACAATTGAAAGTAATGAGTTTTCAAAGTTATAAACATTGATATCTAATTAATACTTGATTAGACAAAGCTTTTAAGGGTACTGTTGTAAATTGGGTATTGCCATCTTTGCGTCGAGGGTCACTTGAAATTAAGCTTATAGTCCCTTTAAACTTAAAACTATTTTAAACCTTCAAATTCATCATAATTTGATTTTAAAATAAATTATAATAAAATTAAAATTATTCAATTAGTTTAAATAATTCTAACATATAAATCTGGGTTTAAAAAATGACATCCAAAACTTTATATTTCTAGATGATATATCAACAGCTGAAGAACAGTCCTCTACTGTACATGTAGCTTCCAATGTACCTCATGTACATGCCAACCTACATCCTGATAACCTAACCCTCATTGATATTAAAAACTTTAAACTAAATATCAACCAGGATATTTGTAATGTGTCAGAAATAGGTAATATTTAAAGGGAGTGTTTGCGAAAAATGAAAGGGGTACATGCAGAATTCGAATCAATTGCCACTTCTATTTAATGACGCAATTGTTGAAAACGCTTGTGTAAATTCACTTTGTTGCAGTATACCACTCAAACTGTAAATCATTCAATTATATTCACAAATCCTTTGATTTTTTGCAAAGAATATATTTCAAATTTCATTTTAGACATCTGAACGTGGTCAACATATTAAAATATGATTTTTTTATAAATATGATTGATGCACGGCATTCTGGATCAGTCTAGCTTAAGGAAAAAAGTCAAAACAATAAATTAAGTGAAAAAATGTGTTTGTTGTTTAAAATCCTCTGAATTCAGGGATTGTATGATTTCAAATAGTTACACTTGTAATCTATGAGGATAAAAATATTGTGATATGTTAATCATTTGGATAAGATCAGATTAAGATTAGGTATTTATTTATTGCAAAAATGAAAGGATAAGGGCTGGGCACTTTAGAGTGGTGGATATCGAGATCAATGCTTGATCCTCTCTTTTTCTTAATCTCGAGACTAACCTAATCTTGTACTTTTGCATGCCATTTAAGATTAATATACAAAAACGGGAGGGACTCTTTAATTTTGAAAAGCCAGTTTTTGATTTTTCTGTATACTATATCCTAAAAAAGAGTGGATTAAGCAAGAAATTAAAAGTCTGCGCATTGAACATTCGGATTAAGCAGTCGGCATTAAAGGTATCACATTTTAAAGTTCCCAGCTCAGTTATGATTGTATATAAATAAAATAGAAAGATTTGAGTTTTAAGACAAGATAATATTAGTTTATCTTTTGATCTTTAACAAATTTATATCAGATTCTGTCTTTAACTTTTCGTGAACACTTGCTTTAAAAGGAATGTTGTTGTATCTTAGACTGATCTCAATAAGAGTGAACAGTCCCTTAGATACAACGGGATGAGATTCAGTACAGCCCGAACCTTAGAAGAGAAGACACGCATAACAGGATTGAATCCAAATATAAGATTAGTCCCATATATGAAAGTATCAGGTTACAAAGATAGTGCATTATACAAAGGTCCAATCTGACAAAGTAATTAGACTTAGTATGTATCATTATCTATAAAATAAATGGGTTTGATTCATTGCTCTGAGATGATTGAAGGTGAAAATACAACAATGTTTACAATTATTAAATTACTAACTTTTTTGAATTATGAGTACAAATAAGTTGCTGAGGGCCAGGATAAAAATTGTTGAAATTCTGCAGCGCTAAGACAAAAAGAAGTTTTTGTGTCTTTCCAAAATTTCCAAAATAATAGATAAGTTATTCCTAGGACTGGTAACAATTATACACTCAGCAGTGGAAAACATTGAAGCCAGAAGAATTATCAGGAATCTATCAAAACACATTGGAAGTCACAAACTAAATCACCAATGAACTTATTTCTTTTTTTACATTATTTTTAAAAAATAAAATACAATGTTTGATAAATATTTATCTAGAGAAACTTGGGGTAACCCTAAAATACCTGGTGTTAATACAAGGTAAAAACATTTTAACATCTGGGGGTGAAAATAAAACTAATTATTTTGAGTAAACCTTTGAACCCTTTAGAAAAAAGGGTATCTGGTATCTGAAAAAAAACATTCTTAAAATAAATCATTACCAAAATAAAACATAACAATATCTTTAGTATTACATACTTTCCAATTGATTTGTACAAGAAAACGAAGTAAAGGTATTATTCTGCCTGTTAACAAAAAAGAAAATATTTCCTATTTCAGGCTGGTGTTTCTACTTGGAATGGTTTCTGATGTTAAACTGCAGAAACCCTTATTTGCTGAAGCCATGCAGCACAAAGATATTGTACAAGGCAGGCTCAATTTAATTAAAAGAACCTATTTATTGGTGTTTTCAAAAAATCAAAATTAGACAAGAACTCTTTCATTAAGCTATAGATCTAAAAAATAATTTTTAAAAGCCCTTGAAAAATCGATGTAATAAGCTACTAACATGTGTCACATTACACATGTTTATATTTGTAATCTTTAGCATTTTCCTGATGTGCATTTTTAACTTTGTTTTAAAACCTTCTTAATACCCTTAAAGTTAAAGGTCCAATTTCTATTTAATGAGCTTTTAATGTATCACATAAAATCATAGGATGAGTGGATTGAAAAAAACCCCCCCCATCTATATTAGACAACGATCGCCCAATCGGGAAAGGGTTAACATTTAACGATTGCCCTCTCCTTATTATCTGGATTTTTTCTCAACCAATCAGAGTTGAGCAGAAATATATATTCAGCCCATGTGAAGAAATATATATTCAGCCCATGTGAAGAAAGCACAATATTTTGTATCCTGAATTCAGGAAAGAATCTATATTTCTAGACTTTGGCAATAACTTTTATTAATCAATACAAGTATAACACATCTTTTCCTTCTTGGATTTTATTTAGACCTCTTTCTCATTTGATTTGAAAATTCCCTGGATTTAGGAGATTTCTTGGACACCTACCACAACCTCTCCTACAAGAGTATAATGGGTAAACTCTGGGTGTCAGAGTTCTGTGAACAAGCTGATTTTGTTGTGAAAACAGATGATGATATGTTTATAGATCTGTATGCTACTTATTTCTTCACCAGGCATGTCATTGAACATATAATCAACAAGAAAATGAATAAGTTAAATAGGAGTAAATACAAAACTTAGCATAAAAGTTGTAAAAGATATTCATCATGAGAAATAATTGACAATGATATTTTTGGCAATATCTGAAATCCGCAGAGTATAAAGCAAATAGTTTTCTACTTTGTCCAGTGTGGGAGGGTCTACCTGTAGCCAGAGAAACAAACAGTAAGGTAATGTGTGACATGGGTCAACCCAGTTTTCCTTTATCAGAGCTGAAAGCTTTTAAAAAAATAATCGTGATCGTTTAATCTGAATATCCACTGTGTTAACTCATGATTTTCTTGTTAATCCTCATTTTTGGATATCATATCCCTGCTGGGTTCCGACCAGTGCGAGTTCTCTCATCGATTGTAAGCTAAATTTCTTGGATTCTGTTTGAATGATCATTTTATGCAAACGACACTCTGATTGGTTGAATTTTAGACACGTTTTTGAATATCAAACTATAGTTACTTTTCCAAATCAGAAATATAAAAAAACATTTCCGTATGTAAACCATAAACCTAAAATTTTATTCTACTCTACAAACTGGGACCGGAAAGGTTGACCCGGCTCGGAAATTCAAATGTACTACGGCTGCCCATGAGCTAGCAGGCAGAGCTGCAATTTTCTTTTTTGAGACAAAATAGTTTTTAATTTTAGTAAACATAGTTAGTTTTACAACATTTTACATATATTGTTACGAGGTATAAACGAAAAAGGCATTTCATCTTACAATATAATTTGGCTGCAATTTTCAATGCCGGGTCACAGTCGCAGATGACTAAAAATAACTACTAAATAATTTTTAAATTAGATGTTTTACTTGGAGTAGTTTCATTATAACAAATATTAGGTAAAAATGAATTCCCAAGGGTTTATTGTGAATATTGAGTGTTCTAGAATACAAAATGTTAGTGAGAACCTTTTTAATGTACACCCTTTATATATAAAATATATAAACTGCATGTCTGTTTGTTTGTGTCCAATAAACGTCAAAACGACTGAATTGATCGGGCCCAAATTTTGTGAAGGTCCTCACATAACCCCAGTGAAGATTTATGATTGATCAAAATTACAATTTTATTAAATTTTGAAAATCCACGAATTTTTTTAATAAAATCCACAAACTTTTGTTTGTTTTTGTTTACATGTATACAAAAAGAAACTGTTCACAATGGAAATAGTAGATGAGAAAGGGCCATGAAAGCCTAGTATAACCTTTTTTCTTTCAGTGGTATGTGAGCTATAAAGATCTTTCTAAAGAGGAGGCACCAGGTTATCATTAAAAAAAGATAAAATCAATAAAAAGAGTTCAGAAATGTTACGAATTGGAATTATCATTTATTACAAATACTTTGTAGTCAAATTGGTCTTAGGAACTCTTAGTAAAGTAAAATTCTTTAATTTCACTGAAAATATTTTATTGTTGACAACTGTGAATGATTTAATATGCATGCTGTAATTTTTTAGTTAGGATATATTTTTTTCTTGCAAAAATATTAAAAAGAAATGAAAATGTGATTCTTTTATTAAAAGTAAAATAAAAACAAGGTCCAAAATTGTTAAGACACTGTAGGGGGATGTCAAGTTTTAAAAACACCTTGATAAAATAAAAATAAAAAGATACTTTTATTCCAATTTGCCATTTTGTTTATCATTTCTTAAACCCTGATGTGCCCATCATACTAAACAATGCTTCATATATATATATACTTTGCTGGTCTGTCTACTTGTTTGTATCCAATAAACGTCAAAACAGCTAAACTGATAAGGCCCAAATTCTGTGGGGACCTTACATGACCCAAGGGAAGGTTTATGGAACATAAAAATTAAATCAAAATTCCTAAAAGTCGAAATTTTTTTTTAATGCTTCAATTCAAATAGAAATTTCCATAAAAATTTAAAATTATTTAATATATTTTACAATTAAAATCTTAAATTTTAAACAGGAAAGGGGGCGCAATGTAGTAATGTTTGGCAAAAGACTGTATCATGAAAAATATCATTATTTTATAGAAAACATCTACCCACCATACTGCTCTGGATGGATTTATATCTTAACACCTGGTACAGCTGGCCGGTCAGTTTTTTTAAAAAATATTTAAATTTTACTTTAAAACAAATCGCCAGTGATGTATTTCCCCCCCCCCCCCTCGTGTAATTTATATCCGCGAAGTGCAAAATTTGTTCAATGTTTTACTTGTTGAATTGGGGGGAAAAAATTATTTTTAGTGGAAAAAAATAAGTTTTTGGGTAAAATGTAGCAAAATTTGAAAATTCATGTCTAAATTGTCCATTGTTTCCCCAAGATTATAGATAATCAGTGGTGGGGGGGGGGCCTTCTTAAAATTGTACACCCCTGTAATCAGACAGGTATTCCCTGGTTATTTTAAAAACAGTAAGGAACTAAATACAGCCTGATATATAGAATAGCAAATATTGCTGGGAAGTCTAAGTTTTTATGGATAGATGACGCCTGGGTCACAGGATACCTTGGTAAGCAATTTTCTTAATTATTTTTGTCTTCAACTTTTGATTTCAATAAACATAATTAAAAGTATAGATCTTCGAACTACTGTGTTGTTATATCTTCATGTTATGCAGACCTAGGATTTAGGAATCAATCTTATTTCTATTTTATATACTGTAGTGGTCATACCTTGAACATTAAACTTTAATTAAGGGGTCAAGCAATTATTCTCAAATTAAAAATATGAAATAAAAATTGCAAAAACTACATAAAAGCATATGAAAAGCTGTTTATTTTTATAAATACTTTTCAAATTGCTACCAGAGGTTTTTTTCCAGTTACAGAAGATACAGAAATAGACAGATACAGATAGCTAGATATATTCAAAATTATAGATATACATTTTTATAGCTTTTTCATAAGCTTTTTTAATATACTTAAAAAATTTGCAATAAATTCGAAAAACTATTGAGTAATGTAAACTAGAATATTTAGTGATTTTAATGTACACGTACATTTAATCAACTTAATTTCCTTCAGTGAAAGAGTTAAAGCTCAAACATCTGGATATGAAGACATTTTTCAACATGGGCATAGAGAAAGGACTATTGTTCAAATTGATTCAAACACCAGAACTTTATCACAAGGAATAGTCATGTATTTAAAAATTTACTTTTTAATTGCTTTGTTCTAATTTTGCTTTTATTTCAAAATATATAGTATATATTTAATAATTTATGATGGTTCAGCTAAAAACAAAATACGAAAGAAAATTTTACATTGATTGGCCACCTGAAAATATAATTTTAATAATTTTGTTCTGAATGGTATTTAATGAAACCACAATTGAATAAATGTTCATTGTACATTTACAAGTAGATGATTAATTAGCCATCTTTCATTTTCAGGAATTCATTCACTGAACTTATAGATACATATTGATTCAGCAAAAGTAGCAATGTATTCTTGTTGACTGTGGTAGACTTTGACTTCCGCCGTTAGCAAAGTGTGTGACTTCCACTTTTAGCAAAGGGTATGACTTCCACCGTTAGCAAAGGGCGTGACTTCCACCATTAGCAAAGGGTGTGACTTCCACTTTTTGCAAAGGGTGTGACTTCCACTTTTAGCAAAGGGTGTGACTTCCACTTTTACCAAATGGTGTGACTTCCACCGTTAGCAAAGGGTGTGACTTCCACCATTAGCAAAGGGTGTGACTTCTACTTTTAGCAAAGGGTATGACTTCCACCGTTAGCAAAGGGTGTGACTTCCACCGTTAGCAAAGGGTGTGACTTCCACTTTTAGCAAAGGGTGTGACTTCCACCGTTAGCAAAGGGTGTGACTTCCACTTTTAGCAAAGGGTGTGACTTCCACCGTTAGCAAAGGGTGTGACCTCCACCGTTAGCAAAGTGTGTGACTTCCACCGTTAGCAAAGGGTGTGACTTTCACCGTTAGCAAAGGGTGTGACTTCTACCGTTAGCAAAGAATGTGACTTCTACCGTAGGGCGTGACTTCCACTTTTAGCAAAAGGTGTGACTTCCACTTTTAGCACGCGTTGATATTTTAAATCCTACCAAATGAACGGAAGCGCTATCCCACAAGTCAAATAAGGGTTTCTGCCCTAGTCCTGAATATATTCTGCAAGCATATTGTATGCTTTTTCTCAGAGAAAAGAGGTGTTGACTCCTCTAATGTTTTCTACTAACTAGAACTGAGGTCTTTTTAAAATTTGTTTTATTAATAATCAATACAACTAAAATATAGGATTTTTTGGCTGTGCCAACTGCAAGGACTTTTGAGGTATATTATTTAAAGCAATTCGCTTATTAAAGATGGAACCTTTTTAGAACAACTTTATACTTATCTTTTTCCATCTGATGTCACATTAACAGTTCACAAAAGTTATATTTTTATTATTTGTTTCACAAAGATTAGTAAAATAGATTTAGGATGATAAAGTTGATATTATTTCTAGATTGCATTTACATTGAATGCACATGCTCGTTGGTGCTATATCAATAAGGTAAAACGTTTAACACTTGTTTTAATTCTTTCTTTTGTCACTGCTCATCAAATAAATATTATAAAGGAACTGAATCGTTGCCACAAACTCAACTTTTCTAATGCCTATATCTATCTTTGCTACCTAATGGTGTGAAACTTTGCAATTCCAAACTTAGATTGTTTAAATGTCGTCTTACATATACTGTATAATGATAATACAGGTTTTTTTGCAGTTTATTTCGTTTAAAAAGTCTTTTGCTCAAATATATTTTACTTTGAAATCCATTTTGCTATAATATGACTCCCATATAATATTTTTATTATTTTCTTTGGTATCAATCAACTTTATGAACTATTGATGAAGACATTCTAAACTATTCATCGACTGTCATGTTTCGTGGGACGCCCTGTATCAGAATTCATAGTTTGAAATATGTAGGGTGTACGACATTGTGTGTCAAAGATACAAGGAATAGAAAATCAGTTTTAGTGACAAAGACTCAATTTCTTTATTGGTTCTTATTACATTTGATATAATTAAATCTAATTAATGTCAACTAACAAATTTTGATGACATTCTTATGCAACTTTGAAATCTTTCCAGAAAACTGGTGTTTTGCTAAAAGTTTGATTATTTTCACGAAATTTTCCCGATTTTAACGTTTTTGAGCTGTGTTTCAGGACGAATACGCTGATATCCATCTTAATTTTTCCCATGGCTTACATTAGGGATTTGATTTAAAATTCGGTGATGGACCAAACCTCTGTAGAGTAAAAAAGTAGATTTTAGTTCCACATTTTATTGAAAATATATTTCGGTCTGGGTTGACCCTCGTCAGTTCTTGAGATTGTTTCTGTCATGAAGATTAAAAGGATTGCACATTAAAAAAGCAAAAGTCTGAATAAGCTTGAAAATTTTGAGGAAAAAGTCTTACATCTTTTTTAAAACTTATTATAGAACTGGTGCAATGTGTATTTGAGCATTCTTATCAAATAACAGTTTCACCCTTATTTAAATTACAAGTTACAATTATTATTAAATAAAATTAATAAATATAAAAAAATAAAATCTAATTCTTTATTATTTTAGTGCTTCAACAATATCTACAGTTCACAGGCAAACTTGTCTAGAGTTGACGTTATAGCAGATGTCATGGTTAAAAGAGAGTTAGAATCAAAGCTAGAAGATGTTCATATCATATAGTTAAAAACTTGTCTAGAGTTGACGTTATAGCAGATGTCATGGTTAAAAGTTAGTTAGAATCAAAGCTAGAAGATGTTCATATCATATAGTTAAAAACTTGTCTAGAGTTGACGTTATAGCAGATGTCATGGTTAAAAGAGAGTTAGAATAAAAGCTAGAAGATGATCTTATCATATAGTTAAAAATTTAAAAAAAAAATACTTTTCTGTTCGTAATTAGTAAAACCACACAAATAAAAGCTTAAAAAAGAACTGTTTTTATTACTTATGAATTACCCTTGCCAAGTAGGAACCCGGCTAAATTAAATGTTGCGCACGGATGCTCCATGAGCATTGTAATACTTTACTGCTTGAAGCATATTGAAATTACTAAAGTTTGAATTAGGATATTTCCGGATTTTTTCTCCTAAAGTTTATGAATTTTATCATATTTCATTCAAAGAAAAATTTCATAATTTCAGGAGTTTGTCTTTCAGGAGTTTGTATTTCAGGAGTTTGTCTTGTCATGAGTTTGTCTTTCAGGAGTTGTGAATTTTTTGAAAATTGAAATTTTTTTTGGCGAGTCTTATTTTTCAAATACACAAATAAAAGAACAATTATGCCTCATTTCCCCCACATTTTGTTGGCCCCCACCGATTTTTCATCCCCCCTCCCCATCCCTTTGCACATGCCTGCAGACAGTTAAGTTATACAATTTAACCATCTATAAACCATTTTACAAATTACAGTAAAGAGAATCTGACCATAAATTTCTTGCTTGCTCACTTATATATGACTATGTTTATTTCAGCAAAGTTTAAAATAATGCTTTTATGGAATATTCAAAAAAAGATTTTATTTGCCCGATTTAGATATGAATTTTTTTTAGATATTTGTCCTTTCAATTTTTTTGCTTTTACACATTATAGATTTGTAAAAGCAAAAATGTTAGTTAAGAAACAAATGAAATATTTTGATGTCCCATTGGAACATGAATGGAAAGTTCCGGTTTTACAAGAACTTTTAAATACAAGAATGAATAATTTATATGTTGAAAGATTTGATGATTACGTAATAACTGAAATGATAAATATGTTATGTAATGAGTAATGATCAATGTTGTCTATTTGTGCATAATTTTGCATATTTTTCTCTTTTCTTTTGGAAAGCTGTATTTTCAAAAATTTATTTAAACAAATTTAAACTATACCATTTTTATTTGTATTTATATCTTTGTGTTTGAATAAATCTTTATAATAATATAATAATACAAAAATGCGTGGGTTTCCCCGTTAAAAAGAATAACAATACATTAAATTGAAAATTGATGGAAATTTGGTTTATTTAAGTTATACAGAATTTATAATTGATATTAATAATGATAATAATGAACTAAACTGCTTTTGTTAAAATATCTGAAAAGCTGCTTGTTAGTTGTTAACAAGTACTACGGAGGCAAAACTGAGGTGGAGGGGTTATGTAGGCTCTTTCACTATTGGCCTTTTTTACATGAAAATTTCTCTTTTACCATTATCAAGGGGGCCCACTATTTGGACAATTTATCCCCCCTCCATACTTTCACCTTGTAAATAAAGTTTTTAAACCATCAAATTAAATTAATTTTAAGTAAAAGTTTGTGTAATACAAAGTAGAAATAAAAATAGAATAAAAAAATCAAAAGATTATCGTGAAATTCAATTCTTAAATTTCAATTTGCAAAATCTGGAAGATGACATTTCAAAACGTTTTGTTTGTATGGTGTGTTCTGGACCCTGGTTAAAAAGAAGATAAATAGTTTTAGCAGAAATAAATATTTCCATTTACTATTAGCGCCGATTGAAGGATTCATATCTCTAATTGGACGATGAGATAGATCCTACCACCATGCAATTTCTATTGGTTCAGAATAGACAACAAACACGTGACTGAACCCTGATTGGATCAGATGCTAATGGAATCGGCATACAAGTGTGATACAGGGTTAACCAAAAAAGGATGAGACTGTAATGACAGCCAAAACCTCTCAAAACATAACCATTTGAAGCTTAATTTTAATCTTATGCCTTCAATTTAGTATTAAGACGGTTTTTTAACATTATTTAGAGAAAAAAAAAGCTAGATTTAATAAATTCCATCGCCTCTATAAAGTCTCATGTTTTATGGGTAACACTGTATGAAGTATACCAGAAAATCTTTAAAAGTTTTTTTTTAACTTCTTCCTTATCCAGAGGGCATTGATAATGTTGTTAATAGTTCTGGAACGTTTTTAGAAAAAAATTTAACATAACTTCAGAAGCTTTCATAACTATATTAAATTAAGTTTTCTTTTTTAATTTCACTTTCAGGAACATCTTTAACCTAAAAAATTAAAGTTGCAAAAACGATCGGAAAACGTGAGACTGAAGTTTTCTTTAATAAATGGAGACTACTGGAGAGTACCGGAGGGTTCTAAATCTAGTGGAGAGAAAATTATTTCTACTGGATAGCTTTATATTTTTACCAAAATATAAATTCTACCGGAGGGTTTTCTAGTTTACTAGAGTAAAAACTGTTTATATCGGGGAGCATTGGAATTTGAACCTAAATTAAAAAATCTACACTGGAGGGATTAGACTGTGTTACAAAAACAGGTTTGAGTTTTCCCTCAAAGTGATTCATATCTTACAGAAGAATTTTAGATGTAATTCTATACATTACTTGTCTGGCTTGGATTTTAGTATCAGTTGGCCCTTAATTTGTAGAATGATTTTACCCTTTGTAGTTTGATTGACAACGGTACCCTGTTAAAACTGATGTTAGGTACGCTGCTAAATGTTTTTTCCCAAGTGGCAACTTCCCAAGGGTATTTTCCCAAGTAGCAACTTCCTAAATGTGCAATTTTCCAAGCGACAACTTCCCAAGTCCATCCTAGCCGCAACGTTCGGCCCAAATTGCAGCCTGCCTTTGGGATGTTGCCAATTGGAAAAATGCCTTTGGGACCTAGAACCTAATACCTTCAAGGCTTTGTTATATCAAGACTGAATAATTTGTCCAACGTAATAATTTTGAAATCTGATTATTTTCAATTGTGTTTCATCATAAAAATGACTTGCGCATTTCTACTGCATGAAAACAATGAAGAAATTATCTGAATTAAACACTTTTCAAGCCAGAAAAACGTCCATATTTTCCACACTCTTTCTCAGATAAAGGTTTCAATTGTTGTAAATCAGGCAATTTTCTGAAATTTGTCATCCATGGACACCTTGCTTTACAAGCACTATCAACATTAAACTAGTAAGAAGTCAACATCAAGGTCTTGTGTCTAGAGACCTTGGTCTACATTAATTATTATGTATAAATTAACTGTTCTAATAATTATGTTATGTGCTAGCTGAAGTGCCCGGCATGCTCGTGGACACCGAATTTCGAAAAATTGATTAAAAATAGTGTATATTTTATTTTTTTTAGCCTACGTTACCCCAATATATTCAAGGGTTCCCTCAAAAAATGTCAGCGCATTACATTCAGACATTTGGCCGGCTATAGCCGACATAATATACAAATAAATATATATGTATGAGCATAGAGGTTTTTAAAATAGATTAAGGGGACAGTTGTCTGGATGCCGTCCACCCCTTGAGACATCTACGTCATCTCGGTTTCATTTTCTTAGAATAAAAAGAATAACTAATTTTGGCTTCATCATCACATAATTAGAAACCTTGTTAAAAGGACAATTTATCTTTTAATAAATTATTTAAAAACATTTTCGTACTTTTATTTTTGAATTTTTGTGTTGTGTATGATGCTACTTAAAATGTGTAAGTGTACTGCAGTCATTGTTTAAATCTTAACATCTCCTGTACTTTTAAGACAGAATAATCAAAATGCTAAATTTGCAAAATTGTCATAACATAATTGTGTATTCAAGAAAATATAGTATTGTATATGTAACCGGTTTTTTATACTGTACTGTGCAGGCCCGAAACATGTTTATTATCGTTGGAATTGTCATAGCATGCAAACCTATATATAATTGCTTAGCTGATTTACCACAGTGACATGTTACGAGGACCATTGTGGTAAGATGCTTATATTTATCTTGATATTATATATTATACCACATTCTTATCGGATTTACTACGTAGCCAAATCCGGAATATTTCTTGTTATTGTCACCCATTTTGTGTAATAATTATGATATTCCACGAACCAAGTGACAATATCAAGAATTATTCACCGCGAACTTGATAGATAGATAGATCCACGAACTAAGTGACAATATCAAGAATTATTCACCGGGAACTTAATAGATAGATAGATAGATCAGCTATTTAATTTTAGAAACTAAACCAAATGTTAAATTACTCTAAAAATCATAACAAATTCCCTATTTTTAAATTCTTGTCTAACATCACCTTTAATTTCATCTCACTTTCAGTAATTTTAACATTTTAATTATATTAAAGGACAGACCACTAAGGTAAAATTAATCATGCAAAATGCAAATCCTACCTTGTAATTTTGTCAATGGAAGGAACACCTACCTTTTAATTTTGGTCTTCGAGACATATAATCCATTTTAACTGAATAAATTAGACAAAAATGAAAAAAAAACTTAAAATATAATAAAAAAATCATATTTTGAAAAATAAACAGAAAAAACAATTCCTTTTTTATTAAGGATGCAAAAAGAATTTCATGAGCAAAAATTATTTACAATCTTGTATTTTTTTAAGATATAAATCCATCCTTTTGATATAGATTCTTTCAAAGAATTCTTCTTTATCATAGCAGAAGGAAAAACACAATAAGCTAAAAAAATGCAAACTGAAAGGAAAAAAAGAGAAAAAATCTAACTGAGCATAATAAAACAAAGAAATACAAATTATGAATTAAAACAAAAAATGTTAATGAAAAAAAATCATCATTTAAGATGACTGACAAAGTATCTTTGACTTTAAATGCCGGATTTGATTGTTTAATGTCTATGTAACATTTTTTAATATTTAACATCACTTCTTTACCATAGCTGAAGGAATAACAAAATAAGCTAAAAAGAAATGAGAATTGAAAGGAAAAAAAGAGAAAAATATCTAACTGAGCATAAGAAAACAAAGAAATACAAATTCAACATTAAAACAAAAAAATATTAATGAAAAAAAAATCATCGTTTAAGATGACAGACAAAGAATCTTTGACTCTAATGCCGGACTTGATTGTTTAACGTTTATGTGACATTATTTACTATTTAACATCACTTCTTGCTGCTAGGGATGTATGGCTTGCTCCAATCCACCTTTTTGCGAATCTGCATCCAGGACTAAAAATATTGAAGAATGATGAAAAATAAGGGTTGTTAAAATTAATAATGATTAAGAATTAAATTTAATATACCTGCTTAGAAATAGGTGGAATCTGAGGTTCAACAACATTGAACTTAGGATTCTTCATCATATCTGGAATCTTGGGTTCAACAACCCTTGATCGTGAATTCTTCATCATATCTGGAAGTGGAATCCGTGGTTCACCCACCTTCTTTGGATTCTTTATCATATCTGGATTCTGGGGTTTAGCAACCTTGAATTTAGGATTCCAATCCACTTTTTTGCAAATCTGCATCCAGGACTAAAAATATTGAAGAATGATAAAAAATGAGGGTTGTTAAAATTAATAATGATTAAGAATTAAATTAAATGTACCTGCTTAGAAATAGGTGGAATTTTTTTCCCAGATTTTCCCCCCATTAGGGATTGAGTCATAACCAAGTTATCTTCATTATCTAAAGTTATGAGTTCAGGGATATTCTTCTTTTTTGGTTTCTGGACTTTAGCAAACTTGAGCTCAGGAATCTTCTTCATTTCTAGTTTCCGTGGTTTAGAAATCTTCAACTCATGATTCTTTATATCTGGATACTGGGGTTTACCAACCCTGATGTTAGGATTCTTAAACATATCTTGAATCTGGGGTTCATCAACCCTGAATTCAGGGTTCTTCATCATTTCTGGAATCTGGGGTTCACCAACCTTGATCGTAGGATTGTTCATCATATCTGGATTGAGGGGTTCAACAACCCTCAAGTTAGAGATCTCGAAGGGTTTTGTTTCGGAATGACAAATTACTGGGACCTCTATAGTCCCTAGATCCTGCAAGATGATATCTGAATCATTCTCAGCCACTACAACTTGAATGTTTTGAAGAAGAGCATGTTCATCAGTCACTGTGTTTGATCCCAAAACATTATTGTTCTGAGCTGAATGTACACTTACTGCTATTGTATTCTGATGTGGACCCATTTGATAGTTCTGATTCAAATTGGTATTAAATCCAAAACTTTGATTGCCCTGTACCTGGTTTGGGTATACTAAAGGCATCATCATATTTCCAGGCATAAATACAGGTGCTGACCCGTAAGGATGATAACCTGGATTACCTGGGAACCAGGTGTTTCCATGGGGCCAATTCATACAGTAATTTACAGGAGGCATTCCTCCATAGACAAGGTTAGGTACATGCCCAGGTATTACAGGAAGAGGTTGATTTATTGCAGTGGGAGGAGAATTGCTTTTTTTGGCATCATTAAGTGTCCTTGACAGACTTTCAGCTATAGCTTTCAACTCTCTTAGGTTTTGCTTCTCTGCTGTTTCTGCTGCTTTCAACAAATCACTCTCATCCTCTGAATTAAACTCATCAAATTTGGCTTTTCTCCTCTTACTGAGCTCCTCTTCGATTTGCTGAGTGGTTTCAAGTATCATTAAATCATCCTCAGAATTGAAATCATCGTTCTCGTCTTCAATGATAACATCATCCAAGTTGAAGTTTGGTATAACTGTTCTATCATGTGAATGTTTGAAGATATTTTCATCCCTTCCTCCTTCAGTATTTTCTTGAACAGAAAAGTATCTAACAGCAGGATTGTTACTCTGTATTGGTAACTTTGTGTACACTAGAAGAAAGTTATACATTATATTGTGTAGCAAACGTTTAATATTTACCAACCAGTAAAGTAAACATTTATTTGTTTTTCAAGCTGAAATTTGATCAATTTCAATTGTGGTTAAAAAGTGATTAATGCAATAGACCCAATGAAGGGAAAGATAAATTAACTTTTTCTGAGATATAAAAACACAAATCTTCCGAATATTTAACCATCTGATGTTTAAAGAATACTGTTTTAAATCAAAAATGCCACTTGAAAAATGTAGGATCATATGAAAATTTTAGCGGGAGAGGGGGGTTAAGACTTAAGTATTTAAAACAGCCCTTTAAAAAAATTCATATTCTTACAACCAGGATTTAAAACTTCAAAAAAGCATTTAAGCTTCAGTAGAAATAACATGTTCTTCATAAAAAAATTGCTAATAATGTATAAATTCCTGATGCATCTGACATTTCTCCTCTACTAAGCTGGGGGCCATATCCTATAGCAGCTGCCATGTTTATCCTATCAGCAGTATCAATCTTGAAGTTGTATGTGCTTGAGAGAGTTTCCAAAGATTTATGTCCGGTTAACTTCATGATTTCCTCCAGTGGGTATCCAGCACGTCTCAAGGCATGAACAACTGTAGTACGCACTAAAACGAGCAATGTTATTTTTTAAAAATTCCTATAATTAATCCTAATGATGTTTTTTTTTAAGGTTGGGGATAAATAAAATTGGGCTGCTCATAAAGTAGTTGATACTCAAAAGTTTCCATTACACTAGGACACAGAATTTTTATAAAAATTACTCATTCCTTGATGATTAGTGCTTCTTTCTACTCCTGCAGCTGTGCACAGCTCTGGTAACATCTGGCGGATGGTATTGTGGCCAATCTTTCTGTTCAGATAGAAGAGAACCTGCTTCTTTGGATCCAAGACATTGAAACCTTTCCTTGTAAGTTTTGCCATTGGGAACAATAAAGCGTCATCGTCTTTAGAAGGAAGAAACTCCAAGTATTCTTTGAGTATCTTTCCAGGATTGTAGAAGGTATTCAACGCAAGGAAAGGAATCAGCCCAGTATTCTCAACCTCATTCTGTCCAAATTTGTGGTTCTTATCTTTTTCAGTTATTACCTAAAAAAAGGATAAACTTTTTAATAAGATCTGTAAATTTTCTTTAAAAATCAAACTCCCTCCCCTTCTTTTTGCAAACACGTTCAAGCTACATATATTTTTAGGGGTTTCTTTGCTGAATTCTTAAAAATAAATGAATATGTGGTGAAAATGTATCATTAAAGATAAAAACATTTGCCGTTTTATGTCGAAATTCTTTTCCCCCGATTTTATCAAAATATGTTTTATTCATTAAGTTATCCACCTCTAATCTGTTTGCAAATTTTTTTTAAGTTGATACTATTAACCATAATTTCTAAATCTATTCAACAATATGAAAAATATTATTTAACCTTCTTGAAGTAGAATATTTTACGATTTTTGTCTTCAAACTTCTTGAAGTTTTCTACTTTCAAACTATTAATTCCTTCACAACCCTGTCGAGCGTCAAACTGGGTGACGATGAGCTGAAATAGTTGAAAACTGTGAGTAATTTCAATTTCTGGTTATATTTGCTTTGAAAGTATAAATTTCATTTATAGTTAGTAGTTAAAAATATAAAATAGTCATGTCACACTTTCTTGTCCATTAATTTAGTATTCAAAGTATGTTTAATATATTTGAAGAGATATTACCTGTACACCATACTGAGCAAGTTGGTTTAGCTTAGGATGAAAATCTGCAGGTATGTTTCCCAGATGTGCAGCAAGCAAATTAGGATCGTCTCTATTCTTCAAGGCTTCAAAAGCATGGTACACAAGCTTGAAGATCTGATCGATAGAATCAGCAGAAACTTCTTGGTGATGTTCAGTAAAAGACAGACCTAAAGAAATTAAACTTTAAACTTGTTCAAATTATGTGGTTCTGACTGTTAAGGTAAAAAATTATCACAAAAACAATGAATTACCTTCTTTCGCTAACAGTTCTGTATATGCTTTCCACTTCTTCTTAACATCAGGATACTTAATCTCGTCATCCATGTCGATCTTGTGAATTTCTTTCAGAGCTAGCTTGACCTGGGACTTTGTTTTTCTTGCAGAATTCAATTTGGGGCGCCTTTCTCCTTTTACCTTCTCCTTTTAGTGCATGCTTACCCTAATGTAAAAAAGGCTAAAAATTATGCAGTCAGAAAACCAAAAGGAAAAAATTCACTTAAAAAAGTTGCTGACTGTACGTACACACAGTGTATGGCCTTACGAAAATGAAGCAAATGTTGGAATTTGAACACATTATTGTCATGAATAAATTTTTTTAAATTAGAAAAATTTGTTTTACCGTAGGGGTTACCCTGAGAGTGAAGAAATACTCGTTATAACATTCTTCGACGACTGAATCAGCAGCTTCTTCTATATTTTCCACTTTTTTTACATCTTTGATCCATTTCATAAAATGTTCATATTCATATTTTCTGTTTTTTAAAGTTTTGGGATCTAAAGCGCCTCCTTCTTCAAGTTGTTTCTGATCTGCCTCACTGAGCTCTACACTCCTAACCATTTCTAAAACCAACACTTCCAAGTCTGAAATACTAAAAGTCTATGAAGTTGTTCAAAAGTTACTTGGAAAGATTAAAGCTCATGCAAAGAAAGCAACTTAACTACACAGAAATTCGATGACACAAAAATTGCACACAGATTTTAATTCTATCTACTTCTACAGCCCTGGACAGACAATGTTGATTAATGAAAAGTAGGTTAAATTGCACAAATATTCAAGCATAAAATTAGATAAAATAGTCTTTTATAGAAAATGAGCCCAAAAACTACTAACATTTATCAACTTACAGGTATACTCGTAACAAAAGTGAAGAACTAATGATTAAGAAATTAAGAAAATCCAATTATAAATCTTAGATTCATATGTTTTCCACTTTATTATTTGTGCAGCTACAGATACAAAGAATGTGTCCAATCATGCATTAATTCTACAAACAGGTCTCTAAAAATAAACACGATTAAAATTACTTACAGCATAATATTATTGATAAAATTAAATGAAAGTGAGATATAATTCAATTTAAAATAAGAATTAACATATTAATTCTGGGAATGCATTCAAATCCTCCAAGAATGTGGTATAATATTATTATGCGTAGGAAGAAAGTGTAATAATCAATATTATAACAATAATTTTGATTATTACACTTTCTTCCTACGCATAATATATTAATAAATATTAAAAACTTTACTGCAGTTTTTTTAAGGCTCAGTAGCTAAAATTGTATTATTAGTGCTTAATGCTTATATTTTACAGTTTATTTATTCGTATTTTTGTAGATTGAACAGTATATTAAAGCTTGAAATCTTATCCTGGATTTTATTATGGACAGATCTAAGGACAGAACTACTTCCGGTCAGATCCGTCGGAACACCACCCGGTATTCACATATTTACCTTTAGGGCGACAAGTGTAGTCGCGTAACAGCCGTGTTAAAAACACAACTTACATATTTTTTTAAAAAGTATTTAAAATACTTTATTGAACATAAATGTTCTTTGTGAAATATTAATCTTCCAAAGTGTTCAATACACCTAAAGCTGAAGAACCTTCAAGAGTACAAATTCATCAGTACAATGTATAAAAATGTTTATGTTTAATATTTTACCCAAACTGTCAAGATCAATTTGGAAATTAACTTTTGCAAAACTATTACTATACAGACCGTTAATTAAAGTGCTGAAATTTAATAAATTAACATTTTCAAAAATTCCTAAATTAGTTTTTAAGATGATCTTAATAATTAAAGAATTTCATTTAAGTTTGTACAGTGAAATCATTCATGAAAGATTATAAAAAAGATGACTCTAAATCATCTTTTAATTTCTTAACTTCACATTTTATCAGAATTATCATCCTATTTAAATATAATCTAAAACAATAGACATAAAATGTCAGGTAATACTTCTCATGAAAAAATATACCCCTGTATTATGTAATTGTTCAATACTTTAAAAACTTGTTTAAACATAAAAACAAATTCTGCTTCAAATATTGTGCCATTAAGTACAAAACCCCTTCTACCAGTTAGGTGGTATTATTAATATGTTAAAAAGAGCTTGGACCAAACTCAACAATTTGATCAAAGTCATGATGTAAAATCTTTTAATTGGACATTTAGATATTTAAGATTTGAGCAACTGAGCACTTCAGAGGAAGTTAAACCGGTCCTAAGTGGTTCAGCAACCTCTCTTCAATTTCTCTTATTTTTAAGCCTAGAAATTATTTTAGGAATTCCATTTAAAACAGGAGAAATTAAGCAACTTATTTAAATGTACATGAAATACATTACATTAAACATACTTATTGGAATTTAGGGTTCAATGTTCTTTTCAAATTATTGAGTTGGTTTAAGCATTATAAAGTAGTGAATATATTCCACAAAAGAATTCATATTCTGCATTATCATGCACAAGAAACATTTTCAAAAAAATATACCCCTGCATATATTAAGAGAGATCCACCCGGTTACTCAAACAATTGTTCACATTAAACATCAGTAACTTAAGCAATAAACACTTTTAAAATGAGTTAAAGGTTAAAATGGGTAGAAAGAATAAATACAGCATGCCAGGAATGCATGATCTAGACAAGGAAATCAACTTTAATTTTCTTCAACTCAGATTTACCATGAAGAGTGGGAAAAGGAATTGAGTTTTTGCCACAAACTCTGATTTTCTAATTTCAATATCGTTGCAACCCAATATCGTAGACCTTAAATATTTCAAACTATGAATGCTATTAGATCAAATATTGTAAGTTTGAAATATCACAGGTTTACATCATAAGGTTGCAAAGATATAGGTTTTACAAAAACTGAATTTGTTGAAGAGACTCAATTCCCTAACTTTGAAATAAGCTGTAAAATTAGCAGAAAAACAAAAATTTCCAATTTTATTTAATTTTTAATAATTTCTTAGAAATTAAGATTTAAATCATGACCTTTGAGAAAAAATATACTTTTATTAGTTTGACAAACATGACAGGTTAAATGCTTTGCTAAAGAAAAATAAACTAGATGATATGAATAGATTGTCAAGATCTTGTTTACCATTGTCTGTATTGGAATAACCTGTAGGCAAGGTTATAATACAGCAATCAAATATGCTGGAGCACCAAGGACAATCCAAGATCAAAAGATTTCTCTGCAAGGTTAACATTTAATTGATTATCAATCAATTTAAATATTTAGGAAAATATAGGATAGTAAATAACTACAGACTCTGTAAACAAATGAAAAAAAGGAATGGAGTCTTTGGCACAATCTTACATTTTCTAATCACTATATATTTAGAATGCCAGGGTCCAAACATATACATTCAAATACGCTTTAAGGCGTGGGCATATAGACCCCCCCCCCCCCCCNGCAAAAAAAACTTAAGATTTGAGAAATGAACTCCCATATTTCAAACTTTAACTACCTGCACTAACAGAATTCATAATTTGAAATATCTAAGGTCCAATTAAATTAGAGTTTGTGGCAAAGACTCAATTTCTTAGTAATTTGTAATTTGTTTATATAAATAAGTGTTTTAGAGTGTTTTTTAATGTGGTTATTTAAGACTACTTAACTAACCTGAAATAAGTAAGTTAAAAAAATTTAATTAAAAGCCCATTCAAAGAAGATTTTATTTACTCATTCATGACTAATGACCATTAATCAAAAAGGCAGTAAGTCAAGTTGTTAATCATTGTTTTTTGTGTTTTCTAAAAACAACCATTTCTTTTTTAGAAAAAATATCGTTTTTTAAATTCAACCACTCTTTTTCAACTTATGAAAAACGAAAAACGATCCTTTTTGAAAATATTTTTGTATTTTCTGTTTCTACAAACTTTTTATATATCAGATCTTAATATCTGAGAGAGATATTCAATATATATTTCCATTTCATTTTTTAACCTTGCACATTTTTCATAATTACAAATGAAGTGGATCAACTAATGAACAATGAATGGGTATTGAAAATATAACAATAATAATGTAACTACAACAAATATAAAACTGACAAAATTATAATCATGTTTTCACCAAAAAAAATAAATATTTACTCAAAATATAACCACCAAAAATATAACCAACCAAAAAAATAACCTTTTTTTACCAAAAATATAAACATTTTTTACCAAAAAATATAACCACTGTTTACCAGAAATGTTATAATTTAAAAAAAAATAATGAATAGGTATTGAAAATATAACAAAAATAATGTAACTACAAAAAAATAAAACTGACAAAATATAATCATGTTTTCACCAAAATTATAAATATTTACTCAAAATATAACCACCAAAAATATAACCAACCAAAAAAATAACCTTCTTTTTACCAAAAATATAAACATTTTTTACCAAAAAATATAACCACTGTTTACCAGAAATGTTATAATCTAAAAAAAACAATGAATGGGTATTGAAAATGTAACAATAATGATGTAACTACAACAAATATAAAACTGACAAAAACGTAAATATTTACTCAAAATATAACCAACCAAAAAAATAACCTTTTTTCCCAAAAATATAATCATTTTTACCAAAACTATAACCATTTTTTACAAAAATAATTAACCAATACAAAAAATATAATTTTAGAAGAAAACACACATTTTAACATTTAGAACTAAAAATGTAATTATTGTTTACCAAAAGCGTAAACATTTAAGAAAGGAACAACATATAACCATGTTTTAAACTAAAAATATATTAATTTTTCAACAACATTTTTTAGAATTATAATTTTCCCTGCCCATCAACAATAATGTTATGCATCATTTCAAAATCCACCAATCAGTTCCCAGCAAGAAATTTAGTATTATTTAGTATTTCACTAACATTTCTCAAAGTATTATTTGTTTTATAAGTCTGTTGTAAAATCATATACTTTTTGTCAGTTGTAAGGAACAAATATTATGGTTTTTTTTTTGTGCGAGAGTGAGCTTCGAATAAAGTGAGAAAAAATGGAAAATGTTCTTCTATAGTGTCCTAATTTGAATTCTTTAATCTATTTAGAAGCTGTACCAGATCTCAAGATATCTATCTGTAAAAGGTTAAACTTGGTCAACCTTGTGGATAATTTACCAGGAAATAACATAAATTATTTCAGAACCTTAATAGTTATGAAAAAATGTTTTAAATACAATGTCACTAATTATTGTTTACTTTATTTAAAGGTGGTTGTTTATACAGTCCCAATCAAACAAGGTACATATAATCCAAATTACATTACACTAAAACTAACATTAAATTAACTTAGAATAAGCATATTTCAGGAAACGACTTGTGAGTTGGTGGAGGACCAAATGGAATCATATCTAGATGAGATTCTAATGCAGGCCAAAGAGAGATTCAGGATTTCTGATCTGATACAGAGATTTGATGGAGTTCTTTCAAATGGTTCTGAGTGGACATCACAATTATCGAACTCATCTTCAGAAATAAACTTTAGGTAACAAGTTATCCAATTATCTCTATTTATCATGTAAAATAAATGTTTTCAATTTTGAACACCAGCAGTATTATAGGGTCATTTATATTCTGACACTTTTCATTCTGACTTTTAATAAAATATTGTGTTTCAGAATGAAGTTATACCCGTATGTGGATAATAACACTTTACTCTGTCATACATGGCAACATGATATCTCAGAATTCTCCAAACTAAGAATTAATCCTACCACAGATAAAGGTTAATTATTAAAATTTATTGACTAGAAATGTTTAAGATATAAGATGAGCTTTTGTTGTAAAAATACCCATTTATCAGGCCACTTTCAAATAAATCATTTCCTTGCAAAATGTTTCCTAAATATATATAGAACCATCCATCTTTAGACATTTTTAAAAAAAAACATAAAAAATCATTTGTTGCAAATCATTACCAATCGCACTTCAGAAATAACCTCTAAAAGTCAGAAACTAAACCTCAGAAGTTTTCTATGTATCAATACATCCTATAACAAAAGTAACCACTTGTAAGTATCTTGTGAAAAAGACTATGCACCACTTTTAATCAACATAATATTGAAATCATGGATACATTTTTTCAAAATCTTATATAATTTGATATTATTCCTACATGTTTAGAAGTTTCTTTATATGTTCACAAGAGGGGACAACTTCTGCTGAGTAATCTTCGAAATGAACTGATAGAAATTGAAAATATTGACCACATAGTTGAAATAGAGTTAAGCGGTGATATTTCAACACCTACCACAGAGTGTGCAGAGGGTGCGGAGTCCATTGATTCTTGTGTAGAAACAACCATGTTTTATCAACTGCAAGATCAATATAATTTTTTCAACAAACCAAGTAATGGGTCATTCTGCACCAACTCTGCAAGAATATTAGAAGCAATGAAAATTTTCCAATCAAGTATAAACAGTTGTGTACCTCCCTGTACTCAAGTTAAAGTAAACATGAGACTCAACCCTGTGAACTGGCTTAACGTAATGACAAATTCAAAGATATCCAACAATCTATTTACTCCAGGGTATTTCATCAAAATCCCATCATCTGTTATGTATTCAGAAATGAAGGAAAGTTATACTTGGATTTCCTTTATTGCCGAATTCGGAGGATGGGTTGGACTATTTCTAGGTTTCTCAATACTTGGAACCTTTGAAATTGTGGAGAACAAGATTTTTAGTTCTAATGCTATAAGGTTTAAAAAAGCTGTATCAGAAAGTGGATTGATTCTAAAAATGGCATGCTCACTTGGAGTCCTTTTTATAGTGACTCATTGTGGACTTAAACTCATGAGAAATGAAAAATCAATGGATGTAAAAATAGTGGAGAATCTAAATGATGTAAGCATATCCCTATGTTCTGTTGAAAATATTTACCAAGGAAGCCTAAACAATACAAATTATTATATGGGAAATTCCACATCATTTTGGAATAATATTATGCAGCTTAAAGACAAATTAGAAATGATGGAGCTAGTTCTTGAAGATGGGAATGTTGTCACTATCTATGATATATCATGGAATCAAAGTTCTGAGTATATTTCATATTCCATCAACACACCGCAGTTTGATACATTTATAGAAACATGTCATACACTGGATCTGAAACACTGGAATAGAATTAAGAGAATGGAAATAGAAGCAAAGAAAGAATTAACAATCTATGTTCATATAACAGGCCAACTTCTTAGATCAGGAAGACAGGGCTTTAGTTTCATGAACATAAATACAACCACTCTATATGGGTAAGATACACAATACACATTGATCAAAAACAAAGATATTTATAAAGCATCATTACAAAATCTCTAGATAAGATTTTTCAGCTTTTTGAGAAATTTTTATTTGTTCAAATTAGGGTTTTTACCATTTTTGCCAAATCTTGTGTTATTTCTGACCATAGCAAGCACAATTCTGGTAAAATTTTTTATTAATTAGTATTTTTTTTTTACAGAAAACCAGACATTACAACAAAATAATTTTGCACAAACTCTCATATATTTTCACTGAATACGCAAGTTCAAGTTCAATAATTTGTTTAAGCCAAGAAGTTTAAAATAAACAAAAAAATTTCATACTCTTTTAGGAATAACTTTGGACTTGTAACATCTTCATCACATTTGTTTAACCTTGATATTTTGAATGAAGAGCAGATCATTGAAGATGGATATAGTGAATATTACACCTATGATGACTGTATTCTAGACAATGTTGCAAAGAACTATCATGATCATGACATAAAGGATATCTTGAAATCAGAGGAAAATAAGATGATTACTAAAGGAATTGATGAATCTTATTTTCAAGATTTCACTAATCAGTTTAAAGACATGAAAAATCGTGATGCTTGCAATGACCCTAATTTAAAGCTTCAGACAACCTTTACCCTTACACGTCTGAATATCGATAGAAATACTTGGATTGGTTAAAAATCTTACTTTTTATTTGGTCTGGAGTTTCCCCGATCTACACTGCTAAAGGAGGTAACCTAAGATTAAACTATTATGAAAAGTTAAAGGGCTGGGCAGAGGTTAATCTATTCAATCTGTTTTTTCAAGAATTGACGATTACTCACATATTGCAAAATGTTATCAGTACAAGCTAGGTTGCTTTCTTTACATTTTTACTGCTTGGTTCTAACAAGTTACCCAATCAAAATTTGAGGCCAATCATTCCACGGGTCTTTGAGTTATGATTAGACAAAACAAACAAATAAACATATTTACAAACAGATATTACAACTTAAAAATAAGTATGTATACATTATACATACAGATATTTAAAAATCTTAACATTCTGCTTTTCAAACAAATCAGAACCTTCACACACTTAGAGTATATGATTTTTTCTAATATTCAATTTATTGTTCAATCAAAAAGCAGATATTTTCTAATAGGTTTATTCGTCATATGATATGATTTCTCTTATCGGAGAAGTAGGAGGATGGACAGGGTTATTATTAGGATACAGGTATAATTAACATTTTGTTAATTTCCTCTAAAATGTATATCGTTTGTTTAGTGTCCTAGCTTTTGCATACACGATCAGGGGAAAACTGAGCCAAAATATGGGGTCTAAGATATTTCTTAGTATTGTTATTGGACTATCTGCTGCTATGCTATACCAGCTTACACTCTCAACACAGAAGCTGCAGGATAACCTGACAGGAACTAAAGTAGAATACATGGAAACAGATCCTCATCTTAATATTTCATTATCAATTTGTAATTACAAGTCTGCCTGGCCTTTAGAGAATATTACAGAACTATACCGCTTTGACTCAATATTTCAAAGAGGTAATGCAGATACTGAATGGACTGATTATACAGATACTCTGTCAGAGATGTTCTTATGGAAAGAAGGAAAACGAGATGTTTTTTTATGTAAAACATTGAATTTCACTGGAGAAGAAGTTAAAATTGTTCATAGCTTTCGTTTCTATCAAGCTGTTTTTCTTCATGATCCCAGCTTTATCACTGGTGGAACTTCTTTCAAGCTACCAGGTCATGGGCTGCAGGGGAACAAAATTCTCCTTTTGAATGCTTAACAGATTCAAAGTATTGAAGAAGAAAACGTTTGCTCGAATTTGATTGAATTTGATTCCTGCAGAGATGATTATATAGCACGAGAATTTAATAGTACATTTGGATGCATCTTCTTTAATATGAAGTAAGAAAATAAAAATGAAACAATTTTTGAATCTGGGGATATATTTGTACAGAATTAGAATTAGTCTTACTTTTACTTAAGGAATCAAGCACAGAAATTAATAATTTAACATTTGATTTTGAATAAGCATAAAGCTATTGTCATTCCTAATTTTATCCCATTCTCAGCAACATAATTTATTCCTTGTTCATCCCTGGGTTTTATCTTTTTCTCCCAGAATACATTGTAAATATATTTTTGTGCACCCAAGGGAGAAAAGTGATTAAGGATTTAATGTTTCATGTAATTTTCATTCTCCTTTAAATTTTGCATGTTTAAAATCTGTTTTTTCAATACTTCTTCATGAATATACATTACAATTCAAAGTTTATTTAATCATTACTAGACTTAGAGGGCGCTTCGCGCCCATCTTCTAAATTAATTGTGAACATGTTCTCTTTGTGTACATCGTAAAACAAAACAAAAATAATTCACGGATTTTCACAAAAAATTTCGCGGATTTTCAAAATTTTCAAAAATTTAATGAAAATCAAATTTTGATGGAGACAAATATTTGAAATTTTGATCATTCATAAACCTTCCCTGGGGTCCCTAGATGTTCCACAAAAAATTTGGGCCCGATCGGTTCAGCCGTTTATTGGATACAAACAAACAGACAGACAAGCCAAATTTATATATAGACTAGCCTTAGAGGGCCCGATCGGTTCAGCCGTTTTGACGTTTATTGGATACAAACAAACAGACAGACAAGCCAAATTTATATTTAGATTGCAAAAAAAACTATTAAACAAGGTTAACTTTTTCACTGTTTTCGTGAAGGAACCACTTCTTTTTTTTAATCCTTCAAAAATAAATTTTTATGTTCGTTCTCAAAATCATTGTTCATTTTCCATCTATTTTGCTTGTTTTCTCACCCAACGATCGTTTAGTAAAATGGTTCAATCAATAAAATCGAAAGTTCAATAAAATCTTTGTTCAACAAAAAAAAGTTGTTTGTTTAAAAGTTTGTTCCAAAAAATTTGTCGTTCAGTATAAGAAACAATTTTTTTTAAAGTTCGTTTGAACAATTTTTAAATTATCCATTTTTTGTTTGCTTTTTTAACGATAGTTTTTTCATTTCTCTGAACGATCCATCCTGGTTCGTTCATTATTCGTTTATGAAAAATATTGTTCGGTCTCAAAAATGTTGTTCGTTCGAAATCCATGCCCTTCTCTACTCTAGCTAACAGTAAATAAATAGTTATTGCTTAAATTGTGTTGAGAATTTTATTAAGGAATCCTGGAAATAAATTTGAGAACTGCATACTACCAGAACTGCTGCAATATGCTAATTACTCAGGAATATTGGCAGTAAATGTGCAAATAATTTCAAATTACTTTGCATAAGAAAAAGGATTAAAAAAGAATAAAACATTTTGTTGTACAAAGTTCAAAGTTTACTTTAAGAAAGGAAATCAAATTGTTGTGTTAATTGTTATTATGAATTATGATGTTACCGAAAATAATGTTTATCGGAATTGTTTTTAACTGCCATATCCTATTTAATAAGTATATGAACCATATGACAATGAATTGACGAGGCTTTCAGAAAATGTGAAACATGGTTTAAGTAAATGTTTACAACCCTGCCGGAAGAGTATCCTGAATGTCGAACTCTTCTACAGTGAAGACTTGGTTTGTTTATTTTTATTAATATTATTACTTTTTCCATAAGTTTGTTCAACTATTTTCTTTTAGAAATCTGAAAAGTTGTATTTGATAATCAGGAAGCCCAGGAATATCCAGGTTCTGAAGAGCGAGTACATCTATACATTCTGGGAGTTTACTGCAGAGTTTGGAGGCTGGGTTGGAATACTCTTTGGATTCTGCTTTCTGGATATTTTCAATTTTGTCACAAAATGTGTTATTCTTGTTGTGGAAAAATATTATTTATAATTTCTTCAATAACTTTAAGCCTATAACTTCTTAGTGTATTTTATTAAAGGATCCTTTAATTAATCTTTATGGAAAATTCTGTATGTTTTTCTTAAAAAGAAATCAGTATAATAAATATTTTTAGAGAAATAAAACTACAATTATAAAACTGTTTAATCGTTTCTCCCTTTTATATAAATTTAATTGTAACCAATTTTTTAACAAAAAATGTTATGAACAACTTTAGTAGGTCGGATGCACAACTTTATAGTGCAACCGACCTACAGTTGGTCAAATACACTATTTTTTTACGAAGGGTGTATCCGACCTACAGTATATTAGACCAACAGCAGCTTGAAGCTGCTGAAAACCACGTGCGGGTAGGTCCGATGTATCGTAGGACGGATGTAATACAATCGGGATTTCAACAGAAGCTTCTGCAGTGCTCAGGGACGTACTAAGGGTGGGCGCGTGCCCCCCCCCCCCTCCCTAGGAGGCACATGTAAGAAAAGATAGGCGCTTTCTGCTTTTTTCTATCTGTTCAATCGTCGTGCGTAAACGTCCCAATTCTTTTATTTCTTTCTCAGCTTGTTCAGTAAAATCGTTAGGTCAAATAAATCATTCGTTTAGTAAAAAAAACTAGACTTTTTTTAGAAAATGGTTCAAAAAACTCGTTTGTTCAGTAAAAAAAAACAATTTTTTTTCAAGTGTGATCCCTTCATAATATGAGGTATTATTAATTTTTCATTCAGGTGTTCGTTAACGGTTTGAAGATATGAGATATCGAAAGAAAAAAATTAAACTGTTAATTAACAGCTGATCGTTAATTTCAAGCCGTTAATATCTAATATATTCTGCCAAACAAGAGGTAACAGTTGAGAATCGGGTATTCCAGTCCAGACATTAAATTGAACTGGTAATCTTTGCTCAACACAAGGAATTTCGCCATACTTTCTGAAAATATGAAAGAAAACAGATAATTGTGAAGTTCTAGTTTATTTTATTTATTGAAATGCAACATAATTACAAGAATATTACGTATGTTATACAATGTTTAAACAAAATTGTACAATCTACAAATAACAAAAAAAACCTATGACGTTTCTTTTGCATGTACAATGTACAGTGTACACAAATACAAAATACCCAATTTCATATTTTGAGCCAACCACTAAAACAAGGCTAAAATGCCCTTATAAAGTCTACTTAATGTTTTTTCACATGAATTTTCCAGTCTTTGGATTGCACGAAGGTTTTGTTACACACGTCACATTGGTAGGGTCGTTCTCCGGTATGGATTCTCATGTGTCTCGTTAGTTTCTCTTTTTGAAAGAATCCTTTTTCACACGATGGACACTGATGTCTCTTCTCTTTCAAGTGGAACCCTCTCTGAATAGATAAAAAATATCAGCTGAGGCTTAAATTCATACCTCCCCCCTCAAAAAAAAAATTTTAAAATAAAAACCTTTATGAAAATTATGTCTTTAAAAGTGAAAGACATTTTTTACGGAGAAATTATCTCCATGCTCATTCTTCACTCATTGTTTAAACTTAGTTTATTGAAAATAAAATAAAAGTTCCTTCCATCTGACATTATTATAATCTGATAACATGTTTGCAATATGAAAAAAGGGACTTAAGACGTAAGTTGCAGAATGTAGACTATACAGTGTACAGGGTACACTTGAGTTTCTAGGAACTGAAGTTCCAGTTGTGAATTGAACACGTCAATCTACAGGGTGTCCCAATAAACATGGAAATTTAGTGACGAATTCGATATCGTCATTTAATTCTTTGATTTAGTATAGTGATACCTACTGAGAAAGCTGTAATCGGTAAGAGTTTCGTCTGCCATGTTCACATTTCGTTTGTTTATGTTTTGACTGCATACGGTTGTGCTTAGTAAAACAAGAAGATTGCAGTATACAAACAGAATAAACTTGTCCGTTTTCACTGTTTATTTTGCGGAGACATTATAGACACATTTTTAGTCATTTACCCTGTTCATAAAATAAACTCTAGCAGACATAATACTACTATGGCTTTTGAAATTAGGCATTACAATGCTAATTCATAACAAAGACGATATCCAATTCGTCACTGAGTTCCCATGTTTTTTGGGTCACCCTGTACAAGTGAAGGGTCAGTGGTCACGTTACGTCACCAGTCCTTTCAACCAGATATATTAGTTTGCAGGATACAAAATATACATTTTATTAAATGAGGATATAATTTTAGATTAAATAATAGATTGATTATATTCAATTAACACATTTTTTATCACTTTCCTTGTGTTCTCCTAGTTTATATTTAGTTGCATAACATTTCCCACACTCTTCACATTCAAATGCTTTCTCCCCTAAACATAGTGTTTCAACATGATTACAATATCAATCAGAAAACGGTGGAATGAATGTTTATGCATTTCTTTTCTTATAAAATGTCGCCTTTAAAGAAATTTGTGTGACGTAAGTTATTTTATTCATGAATGTATCCTAAAGATTTTCAGAAGTACATCAGTTAAAAAATTACAAATTTCTCAATTCTTAACAAAAAAATTAAAATAAAAAATAAAAAAGATTACATTTATTTCAAAATAATCTTATTACCACTATGAGTAAGTTTAATATGCAAGGTTGAGAGGGTTCTCTTTTTAAAATTTATTTTCCCAAAACTTTCAAACGAAAAAATTACAATCCCATTTGTGAAAGTTTGCTTTTGCGACACGTCAATTTTTTTTAATATTTCGAGCTGACTTTTAAGCCACAAGCTGCTTTAAGAAAGAGACACGAAGAGCATAAAGGGCCTTTAACGCAATTTGAGGGGACCTTTAATTTCTAGAGTGGCATTATAGATTCACAACGGTACTCTTAAAACCATGTTTAGCTAGATAGATTTATATATCTGACAAAGTATTTTGATTCAAATTCGGATTCTCTGATCAGAAAAAGGTTTTAAGGGTACCATTGTGAAAAAAATCAGAAATGGAGGGTCACTTGAAATTACGCAAACAGTCCCTTTAAAAAGCCTAATATTCCTGGTGAAATGAATGCTTACCTGTGTGTGTAAGATTATGTTTGTCAAGTAAACTCTTAATAACAAACTCCTTACTGCAGCCCTCGACAGGACACACATACCGTTTCTTCTCGTGTTGGCTTTTCTAACAATCCATCCAAAATTTATTTCATTTTCGCAAAAAAAACTTAAGATTTGAGAAATGAACTCCCAAAATAATAATAATAATCATAAATTTCTTTAAAGCATGTTGATTTTATAAATTAAAATCTTCATATCTTGTGAATTGAGGAAGAGTAAAATTGACAGTAGAGTGTAGACGTAAATTTAGGTGGCTTTCCATTGTAAGTGTTTCATGTCCGATTTATATACAAATACCCTTAATAAACCTCACTTTTACAAAAGAAAACGAAGGATATCTTCATAAATAAAAAATGTAAAGCGGGCATGTCATTATTCAAGGGAGGTTCACTTAAATAACGTTGACAGCTCCTTTCAATTAACAATTATAATTATTTAAGAACAATCCATTGCATATGCTCAAAAGTTTCATTATTCAGTTAATCTAACCCCATGGTCACAAGAAGCGAACAAAATTGATTAAACAACTTTTAAAATTCTAAAAATTATAACTCTAGAGATGATGAAAAAACTAATATAAAACTCACCATAGTTCTTCTTAGCCCCGTGACTCTCTGTCTCAATGTGGCATTTGTATTTACCAAATGTCATAAATACTTTGTCACACTGATCACATGGGTACTTCTTATGATTCTCTATGTGTGTATCCAGTTGTTCCTGGAAAAAGTTGACTTTTTGAAAAAAAAAAATTTCATTTGGCTAACAAGCTAAATTTATCAAATGAGAGCTGCCTTCATTATTGTTTTTGATACGTAACATCGCTAAAAATTTTGTAATTTGTGAATTTTATAATTCAGAATATGTGCTATAAACAATTTGAGTGATGTATCATAAAATAACCGTTACAAACTGCGAAATCTTTATTTTTTATTGCAATATTGAATAAAGACGTCATTTATTCCGCTAAACCTAAAAAAGACTATGAATATCCGCCGGATCGTCATATTTAAATTGTCAGGTCAATAATTATTAATAACATAGGGCCTCATTTGTCAGGTCAACAATTATTAATAACATAGGGCTGTCAGGTCAACAATTATTAATAACATAGGGCCTCATTTGTCAGGTCAACAATTATTAATAACATAGGGCCTCATTTGTCAGGTCAACAATTATTAATAACATAGGGCCTCATTTGTCAGGTCAACAATTATTAATAACATAGGGCCTCATTTGTCCTCTAAGTGGTCATAAAATCTCATCCTTTGTTAGAAACCCTATTCTTGACAAAGATACGTCATTCGGGTTTTTAAAAATAATTAAAATAAAAAATTGCGCAAATATTTTTAAAAAATAACAAACACAAATGGCAAATATGTGCAAAATTTTATTTATATTGCTCACAAAGCGGAGATGTATTCAAATTGGTTAAAGGGAATGTTACCCGCTAAAAAAAAACTGGTCAAGCTTTCCTGTGAGCCGAAATATTTGCTGCAATCAACACACTTGAACCCAGTATGTTTCTTGACGTGGCTAGTGTAGGCCTTCCGGTCCTTTAGATTGTCTCCACAGTGTTCACATTGGAATACAGAAGGAAGATCTTTTTTCCTCGCGAAATCATACGGCACGGATCCTTGTTTCACAGGTATATATTTTTGATATGATCCTGCCTTTTTTTGAATGAGTTTTCAAATGATTATAAAGATCTGCAGCTTTATAAAACGTTTCATGACATGTAACACATTTGTTCAGTTTCTTGTGTGCAGTTTTCATGTGATTCGTCAAATCGTCGTTAGAGTCAAACTTCTTGGGGCAGATATTACAAGCAGATTCTGAGCCAATTCTTGTTTTGAATTCTTCATCATTCTCCTCGATATTCACTTCCTCTTTGATGGGATGTCTGAGAAAAAAGTTCTTAATATTTAATTTTGTTTTGATAAAAATAAATTCCATAAAACTTATATTACTCGTTAAAGAAAAAAAAAGAATAATGAGTTAATTCAAGTTTTTTCTGTCTTTTATCTAAATGGCCAATGTAAAAACATTAAGATTAAAAAATTTCTAATCAAAATAAAATTTCAGTTAGATGAATAAACTTAAAAATAACCTCAAGGGGTTATCGAGTAGTGTTTTATTACAAATAGTGAAAAACATAAATTAAAAAACTGAATAAAAACAAATTTAATAAAACCTTACTCATTTTCATTATCTGAAAGCGGATCCATCAATACATCATGATCAAGGTTCTCCCCTTCAAACTTAAAAATAAGATAATATTTTTAAAAATCATAACACTGTACAGTATACAGTATACAAAGAAGAATGAATGCCAAAATCAAATTGTACCAAATTTAATCAAACAAAAAGAGACATCGTACTCCCAAAGTTCAAATTTAAAATAAAAATACTAAATCAAATTTTAAGTAATACTTGTAAGGAATTAGCTCACTATATCTTTTTAATGGATTTATTTTATTTGTATTTGTCTAATATCCAGTGTTTTTTGGGGGGTTAAACATTTTTTTAGCTGAAATACTAAGGGGAATAATCGGCATAAACCTGATCAAAATTGTTAATTGTATTGCAAAATTTTAAATGTAATGATAATACTAATGATAATAATAATAATAATGATAATAATAATAATAAATAAACGAATAAATAAATAATGATGATAACATTAATAACATTAATAAAATTCCTACTTGTGTTTCTTCCATCGTCAATTTATATGGAAAGGTTTTCAATGAATTTTTGCCCCCCACAATACCAGTGAGACAATCTAGAGTGAGTTGTAACAAATCCTGACTATCCAGCTTCAGCCCAGCAAACACAGCTAGCAGTGCTTCAGTGCTCAGGTTTAAGCTTTTCAGTAATTTGAACGCTAGCACGCGGTTATCATAGTGGATACCCAGATCATCAAGTTCTTCCCGCCTAAAAAGGATATTTGAAATTGTCAAGTTCTTTGAAAAGGGATAGTAGGCGTGATTAAAAGTGACCCTATATTCATAGAGCATCATGTCCGATTAACAAGGGTACCATTTACACTTATGTACGATTAATGGTGAATGAAATATCCTTATTTTTCTAGCTTAAAACTTTTTGATTGAATTGTTTTTTTTCAGGTAAAAGTGACTTGCATGTGTTCAATTCTGCTTACAAAAACAATCAGAATTAAACACTACGGGCATGCAACTCTCTTAATTAAGGGTTACTTGAAATTTTGTTGACTGCCTCTTTAACTGATACATAACCTATTTACCACAGTACAGTACAGTACAGTACAGGGAGCCATTTTTTGGAAAATAACTATATCAGAATTTATTTATAACTAGAAATTCAAGGCGCTTCGCGCCCTTCTTTCTAGCCTTAGAGGGCGCTTCGCGCCCATCTCCTAAATTAATTGTGAACATGTTCTCTTTGTGTACATCGTAAAACAAAACAAAAATAATTCGCGGATTTTCACTAAAAATTTCGCGGATTTTCAAAATTTTAATTAAAAAATAATGATCGAATTTTGATGGAGACAAATATTTGAAATTTTGATCATTCATAAACCTTCCCTGGGCTCCCTAGATGTCCCACAAAAAATTTGGGCCCGATCGGTTCAGCCGTTTTGACGTTTATTGGATACAAACAAACAAACAGACAAGCCAAATTTATATATAGATTTTAACTAAAATAAATGCGAGATTTTATCATTACGCAAATAAAATGATATAATATTAAAACTGCAAATAAGGAAGTCACCGCTCAATTCGACAAATCATTTCAAGATAAAAATGGTCGAGATCAATATCAAATTACATTCGTTTGACACCCTCTTTCTTGTTTATCTATTCAGCATCGTAATCAGTAAACACGATTTAGAAAAAAGTTTTACATCAATCAGATTGGTAGCATTCAACATCAATAAAATTCTTAATATTTTAGTTTTCACAAACACTCCCTTTAATTAAAAAAAATGTTTCTCTTTTTACTATCACACCAACCTTCTCTTCCACTCTGCAACATGCTGACTGAAGGAGCTCATCGCCTCGTTAAAGGCAAAGTTCTCAAACTCTTGAAATAGGTTCCACAGATATCTGTACTTCTCCACCTTATCCTTCACATCAAATATATCTTTATCAACATTACCAGGTTCAAGTATGTCGACCATTCTTCTGAAAAATAAAATATATCATTATTTGCACTTTATAGGATATTATTACAAACCATAAATGAACAAAAAAATATTTCTGACAGAAAACATCTCGTCTTCTTGATGCAATATCTTCATTCTGTTGGCGGAAAGACAATGTTTTCAAAAGAATAAGGGTTTCTGCTGATATCAATGAGAAGAAATATGCTTTTTTAAATCTTTACTCTGAATAAACGATTTAGGACATTTATCACATTGAAAGGGACGCTCTCCAGTGTGAATTCTCATGTGTCTATTTAGTTTGTCTTTGTTAAAAAATGCTTTTTCACAAATAGTGCATGGATGCTTTTTTAGGCCAGCATGTCGCTCCTGAAGCGTAGAAATGGTTTATTCTTAAACAATTAATGCATAGAGTCAAACAATTAAGTAAACACTTTCAGAACAATGAAATTCAAGTAAAATCAGTAGTTGGCCAATGTGAAAAGTTGATTTTTTATAGGTTCTAATTTTAAAAATCCCCCCCCCCTCTCGCCGCTTATGCACTTCTAAACTCCTCAAAAAAAACTTCAACTTCGATGCTAAATATATTTACTACCTAGGAAATTTACTTTTGAATCGACAGGGGGGGGGGCTGTAGCAATTTACTTTTAGAAAATCCTTAGCTGATTATAAGACATTTAAAACATTAAAATCTAAAAAAGTCAGTTATGAAATTAACCAATCTTTCCTTGTGCTCCTTCAATCTATACTTTGTTCCAAACATCTTTCCACATACCTCACATTTAAATGATTTTTCACCTAATTAAACATTTTATTTGTTACAAAAAAATATGCCATTCGTCTTTCTCAATAACACCATAACTAAGAAATGATGGCGTTGTATACATTATGTTACAAATAAATATTTGCTCGCCCCCCCCCCCCCCAACAAATCATCTAAAATCAGAAGAAAAACAGGACCAATTTTTTCTTAAATTTAAAAAAAGGTGGTACTTTGTATCTTTACAATACTAAATTGACAACAATTTATAATTGTGCAATTAGGTCTAAGTATAAGCTATAAAAAATTAAAAAGAGTTTTTTTTGTGACGTTTATTAAAACTGTTTGCCTGTATGAGTTATCATGTGTCTATTGAGTAAACTGTTCCTGATAAAAGCTTTATCACAACCCTCCACTTGGCACACATGCTTCCTCTCACTGTGAATCTTCTGTGGAAAAACAGTAAAAACATTTTAAAAACCCAATAGGAATTTGTCCAAAGAAGAGGGGGGGGGGGGGGGGACCTCATTGCCCAACGCTTATTATATCTACCATAAGTATATCAAAGCAACCAAATTCTTTATGGGATTTTACATATTTGGAAATCCACAAGTGACAGCAGAAAAATCTTCGAATCATAAATTGTAATTCATATTTTCATTTATATATAAGAAAGGGAAATGTTTGCATGATAAAAAAATTAAAAATATTATTTAAAACTTAGTTTAAAACTTAGTTTTAAATATTAAAACATAACACTTTTTGAATTCATTTAGAATTAGAATATATTATCATTAAAAATGTATTTCATTTACACACGTTCAAGATACTGATGGTTAATAAATGTTATGCTTTCCTGATGGCTCAATAAATTTGAATTGTTGTAGAAAACTTTCCCACAAATATCACAAGCTGAAAATATATTTTCAATTAATTGATTTAAAAAAATAAATTAATTTGTTACCTAAGCTTTTATCTGCTCCATGACTTGCAGTTTTCATATGTTCTGTCAACCTACTCTGTTGTGTGAACACTTTTCCGCAAATGTCACAGGGAATATGTTTATGCTGCTCAATATGCTTCTGTAAATTATCCTAAAATCGAGAAAAAAATATTTGAAAATAAGTTTATCAAAGTTTTCTTGAAATTTCAGAAGGATTTTTCCGCATTTTTAATTACAATTTTATGATCTTGGGTAGTTTCTTTTTTTTGTTTCGAGGCAAATAAATAACATTTAAAACGGGCTAGGCAAACGGTTTCCCTTTATCTTTCGCGAATTTTAGTTAACTTGTATTTAAAATGTTGTATAAAAACTAACCTGTGTTTGAACATGTTGTATAATAACTAACCTGTGTTTGAAAATGTTGTATAAAACCTGTGTTTGAACATGTTGTATAAAAACTAACCTGTGTTTGAAAATGTTGTATAATTACTAACTAGTGTTTGAAAATGTTGTATAATAACCAACCTGTGTTTGAAAATGTTGTATAATAACTAACCTGTGTTTGAAAATGTTGTATAATAACCAACCTGTGTTTGAAAATGTTGTATAATAACCAACCTGTGTTTGAAAATGTTGTATAAAAACTAACCTGTGTATGAAAATGTTGTATAATAACTAACCTGTATTTAAAATGTTGTATAATAACTAACCTGCGTTTGAAAATGTTAAATAATAACTAACCTGTGTTTGAAATTGTTGTATAATAACTAACCTGTGTTTTAAAATGTTGTATAATAACTAATCTGTGTTTGAAAATGATGTATAATAACTAACCTGTGTTTGAAAATGTTGTATAATAACTAACCTGTGTTTGAAAATGTTGCATAATAACTAACCTGTGTTTGAAAATGTTGTATAATAACTAACCTGTGTTTGAAAATGTTGTATAATAACTAACTTGTGTTTGAAAATGTTTCATAATAACTAACCTGGGTCAAAAAAGGTCTACAATTACAATCACTGCAAGAAAACTGATAGTGAGTTCTCATATGCTGTCTAAACTTTCTCGCTGTTTCTGAATGATTTCCACACTTTTCACATTGGAGATCTTTTAAATCTTTCGGAAGCTCCCCTCTTCCCGACAGTTCCCTTCTTCTATGTACCTCTAAATGTTTATTCAAATGTATTTTATTGTAAAATAATTTATCACACTTGTCACATTTTAGGTTTTTCTTATGAACCCATCTTACATGTCTTGTTAGCTTAAATTTACTTTCAACTATTTTAAAGCACAAAGAACATTGAAAACTTTCCAGAGGAGTTTCATCGATTTTAGACTTTTCTCCTTCCCGAGTCTTTCTGTAATTGTCCAGAAGGTTTTTATCTTCACATTTTACTTTATTTTGTGAGGGTAGGGTGGTTTCAAGGTCTGTATTGCATTCACTATATTCATCGTATTCTTGTTCTAAAACCATATCTTCATAGTCATTGTCGCCAAATGACAGTCTAAAAATATAAAAAGTATTTCTAAAAGAGTATCTAAGAGTTCTTGGGGTAGAAATAATCGGGATTGAAGATATTTGATTCATAATATATCTTAATAAAAACTTACAAAAACAATAAAAATTTAAGTATAAATACACTTTTCGACGCAAAATTTAAATTTTTTTTAATTACCTCTCAGTATTCAAAGTTAGGTTCGTTGACTTTAAATCTTCATTGGCATTTGCTTCCTAACACACAAGGCATATTGACAATGACAATAAAAGTAAAAATAGCAATGACAATAACAACAACAATAAACATCAACATATGCACATCATCATGATTTCAACCATAACCTTGACCATAACCAATGACCAATGATCAAGACCAAGACCATGATCACAACCAAGATCAAGATCAAGACCATGATTAAGGCCAAGATCAAGATCAAGACCATGATTATGACCAAGATCAAGACCAAGACCATGACCAGGACACAAGATCAAGACCAAGACCATAATGATGCTCAAGATCAAGACCAAGACCATGATCACGATACAGATCAAGATCAAGAACATGATTATGACCAAGACCAAGACCAAGACCAAGACCAAGACCAAGACCAAGACCATGATTACGACCAAGACCAAGAACAAGACCATGATCACGACCAAGACCATGATCACGACCAAGACCATGATCACGACCAAGATCAAGACAAAGACAAAGACAAAGACAAAGACAAAGACAAAGACAAAGACGAAGACGAAGACGAAGACGAAGACGAAGACGAAGACGAAGACGAAGCAAAGACAAAGACAAAGACAAAGACAAAGACAAAGACAAAGAAGACGAAGACGAAGACGAAGACGAAGACGAAGACGAAGACGAAGACGAAGACGAAGACGAAGACCATGATGATGATCAAGATCAAGACCAAGACCATGATCATGACCAAGATCAAGACCAAAACCATGATAATTCTCAAGATCAAGACCAAGACCATGATCATGACTAAGGTCAAGATTAAGACCATAATTATGACCAAGATCAAGACCTAGACCATGATCTTGACCAAGACAATAACCCATACTAATATAAAAGAAATTTTGTTTCTTACCTCAAAGCTTTCTACTTTAATTTCTAGTTCCGTGTTTTCACTTTTGCCGTACAACCCTGTTAAGCAGACCATGGTCTGCAGGAGAATATCATCTAGAGGATCAGTCTGAGCTCGTAGCGCGGCAAACACGAAATCTTGCGCTTCCTCGCTGATGCTCAAACTTTTTATTAATTTGAGAGCGAGAAGTAGATCGGTATACTCTAGGCCTATTTCTTGACAGGTTTTCAATCTAAAAATGTGCGGTTATAAAACTTTTTAAAGATTTTTTTTAATGTTAAAACCTGAATCCTAATATCGGAGACCTTCGATATTTCAAACTATGAATTATGTTATTTCAAGATCGGCAAAGTTTACAACTGCGGTTGCAAAGAAATTGAGATTAAAGTTTGTGACGAGTGATCAGTTTCTTTTGGTGACAACCCTTTGTATCTATATTTGGTTGTAAATGTACCATTCGTATCATACGAGAAAATAAATGTTCTAGATAAATTTCATGCAGGATGAATTTAAATAAAATAATTTTTCAAAATATGATTTACTTGAATTTTTCTTTTTAATTGTTAATACAATTACACTTATTTCAAAAAATAAGTACGGAGTAATGTACAACAAAAGGATACATAACGTGAATAAAGTTACTTGCATATTCGATTCACAACAGTAACCTTTAACCTTCTATCTGAGAAACATTGAAGAAGATCTCAGCGTATTGTCAATTTTCTTTGTCATCTCTGAATCATAAATGCGCGGTGGTAGTCACTACGTAGAGAACCACAATTAAAATTTATCAGTTTTTAGCTAAAGAAACTTAAAAGGATAACGGCTTAAATGGGACATGCGCGCCAATCTACTATTGGAGGGTGTTTCGAAATTATGCCTATGTTTTCTTTTACAGGAAACCCCGCCTTATTTTAATACCCTCATACCTATTAGAATTTATGACAAAAAGAAAAAAATCAAAAAAAATGATGTAATCCAAAAAAAAGTATCACAAATGTCTTATTCACCTTGATTGCCACTCTGCAAGAAACTCTGTGAATTTCCAATAATTTTCCGAGAAACTGAAACTTTCAAATTCGATGAAGGTCTGGTATTTCTCCTTGAATAAATTCTGCGTTGTTTCACTGGATCTTTTAGTGGAAAACATTTCTCTGAAATGAATAATTAATCAAAAAACATTTCCTTTTTATCTTAGTTTTACAATTTACAATCATCATCAAAAGGTATTTATTTCCTTCGAACTCTGACAACATTTTAGTTTTACTAAAACTAATTTTTAATTAAACAGCAGGATAGAAAACCTTTAAACAATTTTCTGTAAAGAATTTATTTTTTCTTTACACTTTTTCGGAGCTACACAGTGAACACTAATATATTCTTGGAGAAAATATCAAGATAATGATGATTAAGAATACATCCGCAAAATAAGATTTAATAAGAGCCTTTTATGTATCCTGGTTCTAACATAATTAGGGTTCAACATAAAAAATCGAACGTCAGAACCCAGTCAAAAAATATTTTATTCACAATTTGGAGCAAAAATAAATAAATATTTAATTATATTTTTCCCAGAAGAAATTACAATAAATTGGTCTGGCTCAAATTGTAAACTGTGCAACCAGAAAACATAGGACTTTTCCAAGGCCATCAACAAAGACCCCATTGTAAAACCTATATCTAAAGCCCTATTTAGGAAGTGACGAACCATGTGCTCACATAAACCTTGAACTGCAACAAGAGCTGGATCCACACCTAATCATCAATCTTCATCTTCAAGCTGCAGAAGATATGAAGTATTTTCTATTTAACCCTAATTTTAGCCCATATTTAGCCATGTTCAACGAACATTTTACCCTGTTGATTGAAAGCATATTTAGCCTAATTTTATTTTATAACTGAAAGTTTTATCTAAAAAATTAAGGTAAAAAGAATTAAAAAATATATATATATATATAAAAGGAAGCACGTGCAATACCATCAATCTTAAAACTGTAACCATGTATGTATATAAACATATTTACTCAGAAACATTCATTAAAAATATTTAATTAGAAGCCTTTTTTCAGACCAAACAATATGGTCATGTTTGAATGCAAATCCGAATAAATTCTCTACGATATAAACAAAAGGTTTGAGAAATATTATAATACTGTACATTCCTTAACGTACTGTATTACTTGTACATGGGAACAGTGTACACGTTGTTGTACCCTGATCTCATCCCTCCCCGGTGCATCGACAATATATACCCCTGTTCAGGAGCTGAGGACAATATCGTTGCATCCTGACCCTAGCTGACTGGTTTGAGAGAAGGAAGACAGGTGTTGTTCTGACACTTGTACAAGAAGACTGTACTACAAACGGTAGTTCTGGAGCTACTGCTGTACCTGTACCTCGACGGAAGAAGATTGTACTGGTACTATATAATCCTGGTTTAACCTGGATAAGAAGGAGACGCTGTGCTCTCTGGACCTGTGATCATGAAGCTGTCCTGTTATTGCAGTAATGAGTTATTCACAGGTGTGTTATATCTCGTATACTGCTGTACCGTTGCTGTACACGGTACTCGCAATCTTGACTATTCTCTACTCTAACGTATTCAGGACTTGAAGGAGAGTGTTGATATTGAGGGGAGATTGTTGTTCTCAACCCGGGAGTTGACAACCTGTTAGTTTGGAGCTGAAGAGGTGTATGCTAAACCTGGGGTGAGAGCCGAATATTCTCAAACCAGGAAACAAATACCCTCCTGATCTAGTGAGCTCTGATCAGAACGATAACAGGTGTGTTAAACGATGATTTAAAGTGAATTTAAATCTAATATAAACTATTTAAGGAGTGAACCTTCGAAGATAAGTGGATCCGGTTAAATAAAGTCTCGTCAAGAAATATACCTACGTGGACGGTGCTCCACCCACTCAGTCGATGCACCAAATGTAAGCACTCTTTTTAATATATTCGTGTGATCGACTGATTGAAAAATAATGATTAGTTGATGGTATTGCTTAAAAATTGTTAAATTATATGGAATTGATTAATATTGGGATTTATTTTTTCAGTTTCCACCGCAAGACGTGCTTTCCCTGTTCCTAGACTATAAATGAACTGTGGATATTTACAGCAACAAGCGCGTGAGAAATGGGTATGACGACTGAGCCTGAGTCTGGCATTTGGCGTGAGGATCTAATTGAAAATTAGGTGAGAAATGCACACCCATATCTATCTGAATATTAAATTATGACTAAATTTTCAAAATGCCCTAAAAAGTAATTGTTCAATGTTCATAAAATAAGAAAAATAAATAATTTGGATCTTTGTAAAGAGACATTATGATTAATGCACTAAAAAATTGCTTTTTATTGTTCCGTTGCAGATGACTCTGAAATACTCTGCAGAGAGAAAAATATAAGAAATAGAACAAATATTTCATACTAAACATAAATATTTCATAAAACCATCTATGGAACTCCATGAATTCTCCTATGCTTTGTTCTGTCTCCGCTTTGTGTGAACCGCTTGTGGCAGATGTCGCATTCATAGGGCTTCTCTCCAGTATGAATCCTCATGTGTTGTTTTAGTTTGAATTTATCGTAAAACTTTTTATCACACTCAGTACACTCATGGTTCCTTGTACCTCCTTCGTGCGTGTTTCTCTGTATCAACCAACTGTAAGAAAATACACATCGCAAAATTTGTCTTATTTTAGTTTGAATTTCTTATGTATCTATATTTTGATCTTGGATGAAATTAGATGCCATTAAATCAGAGATTTAGGGATAACCTACCAACCATGAAGATAACTGAAGTGACTATACTAAATTACCAGTCGACGACGGCTCGTGGTTTCTATGTGTAATTGCAAAACTATCTCTTTTTATTTAGTTAAGAAAGCAAATACAGCAAAGTTGCATACCCATATTCCTAAAAAGTCAATTTAAAATGTACAGCGACAGACACCGCAAAAAAAGCTTTGGACGAAAGAAGAAATTTCTTTAAAGATCCAAGTTAAATGAGAATTTAATTTTGTTTTTCTGCGTGCTCTTGAAAAGAGGATTTGAATTCCAAGGAACTTTTAATTTTAGCTTGCATCTTTCTGAGGGTTCTTTTGACTTCTTTCTAAAATTCTATGATTTTCCTTTTTAACTCATATTTCTTTTCATCAATTGTTTGTGTTAGAAAATTAATGGATTTAAATATCACCATTATTTAAAATTAAACAAATCGCCAAAATTCATTAAAATGTTTGCCCTTTTGTTTTGAGTAGATTTATTACAGGGTCTGTAAGCGTAATTTCAAGCGATCCTCCGTTGAACCCTTGACATCTGTATCTGATGAAAAATCAGACTTATAACAAACTTATTCTATGTTAAAAAGCGTTCAATTTTGATAATTCCCAAATCTTTTCCAGCTGTAAAAATGCCTAAGTCACTTTTATAGAGAAACCACAGTCGAAAATAAAAAGTTTTCCTTATTCTAAACCTTAAATAATAATTCAGAGTTATTTAAGGATACCGCTGTTAATCAGATAAATTGCCATCTTTAGATAAAGAATTCTTTTAAAACTTTGCTAAGGAAAAACATGATCAGTTGATTTTCCTGGTGTTTTTGCAGTGCTACCTTCTTTGCAAACATGGATCCACACTTATCACAAGCTGTTAATATCAGTGCACCAAATAATAGAAAATTCTAGGTAGTGCTGAGGATCCGTTTCATTTCATTATAAGCGGAATGCGGATCTGGATCCGGGATCAGTCAAATAAAAATAACGACCCGGATTCAGCTCATGAATATTTCTAAAAGATTTCTTATTTTTACTAAAAAAAATTCTATTTTTCTTCATTTTGTGGAAACCATTCAATCATTAGAAAGGCTTAAATTTGTTTTACACTAGTTGACTGTAGAAATATGAGTGTTTAAAAACAAAGTCTTTTTATGCAGTTTCTATTTAACCACTTGGATCCAGGTTTGTGGATCAGTATGTTTATGAAGAAGCTAACATGTTGCGGATCCAGTGGATTCGGATCCTAAGCACTAATATTTTGTCATTTTTATAATTCTGCCATTTGGGTCTCAATCTAATCATAACCATTCAACAAAATATGGAAAGTTACAACTTTTTGTTTTCAGAAAATTAAATATTTAATACTTAAATATTAACTAACCTAAAAAATTACAAGAATTAAAAAAGCAAGGGAGAGTGGTTTTCAATGCTATTTAGAGTAGAATTAAAATTGGTGATCATAAGGGAAGATTTAAAAATACATTTTTGTTTTTTAACCTCCCAATTTTTTTTGTCATTTTTCCTTGAAATAATGAACATTGTACATATATTTCCCAATTTACAAAATAAAATTCTAAAAGTATTCCTAACATCTGGAGAGAATTTTTTTTTTAAAAAGGTCGGGGACGGTGATTCATTTTGTTAACAAAATCTAAATCCTTGGTAAAAAGAATAAGAAATAAAGAAGTTAATTTGTCAATACACAAAAAAAAACATGTCAAAGAGGTTTAAATTTCGTGCAAACTTTCCGAAAGATTTGATTCCTGTGTGTGAGAAGGTGTTCATATGTCTTTTCAAGACTCCGACATGTAGAAACACTTGTCCACATATTTCACAAGGAAGCTCTTGATGTTCATTAACATGCTTGTCCATACCCTCCTATACAGATCCATTAAGAAATATTGAACATTCCCCCCCCCCGCCTACACCATAAAAAAATCAAAAATTTTCCAATGATTGTATTCCACATCAAACCGTGTTATCACAGTAAATCATTTTTTACTTACACAAAAAAATAAGTTTTCGATTTAAGTCCACGCTAAATTTTAAAAAAATACATAACGTCCGTTTTATTTCTAATTTTTTTGCCTGGCCAAGGAACTGAAATTAGGAACCCCCAATTGTGTGCCTTATTCTCTAGGAGCAATGTAAATAAACTCAATGCTCCCACACCTGTAAAATAAAAGGACCAAAGCTTTGTCACTTTATATCATTTATCAAAAAGAAAGTTAATTAAAAAATCAAAATGGGGTTTTCCTTGTTTTTAAAGATGCTGTTGCAGGGTTTACATTTATACTCGTAATGAATTCTCTTGTGTATTCGCAGTTTTATTTTTCCAACAAACTCTAGTCCGCACTGATCACATTGGAACACGCTGGTTTTACTCGGCTTTGGCTTGTGAACAGTCATGTGCGCCCGAAGCATGTTTTCAGTGGGAAAACTTTTTTTACACTACATTCGACAGAATATTTAGAAAACGACTCAAATATATGTACATATTTGGTTATTAGCGATTTTGTAAGGAATATTGAAAATTTTATGTCATAAAATTCTAGTACACATGCCTATTTTAAAAATTAAAAAATAAAAGACTTCAAAAAAATCTAAATTTAAAAGGACTGTTATTTCCGCATTCAGATGTACATGTCCGACACACAATGGTACCTTTTCATTTTATCTGTGCAACAGTGCTTTCTTAAAATCTGTCAATGTCATTCTTTAAAAACTTTCGTAGAGAAAACACAATTGACAACTACCAGTTTTAATAAAAAAACTAAGATAAATTAAACATTTTTCCTTAAACAAAGGTTGTACCATCGTGAATTGGACAGGTAAATTTATAATTCGGTTCCTTCCGGCGTTTTCCTCTCTCTAAAATTCTGTTCCTCGTCACATTCGTAGATTTTCTCTTTATGCACGAAAAAAATATGCGATTTTAAGGATTTCTGAGTTTCGAATTCTGCTTCACATAACTTGCACTACAGGGACATCAAGTTCAAATGTTGAAGATGCACAAGTTCAACCCCAACTTTTGAGATTTTAAATGACAAAAATTTAATTATTTAGTATGGGTCATTTATAACATTTTGGAACATCAGGTACGTCAAGACTAACATCAAAAACTGCATTGAAACTGCTTTATTCTTAGTAACGATAACTCGAATTTATGTTATGACTCAACCCCTAAAACAACAAAATCAGCAATGACAAAAACCAGTACGGAATATTTTGAATTTTGATCGAAATTAAAAATACATATTTATATCTAAATAGGTCTTTAATTTGACTTAAATCTTCCTGCCTTGGCTGTGTGGATTTTCATGTGCTCGTTTAACTCCCACTTGCTGGAGAACAATGTTTTACACTCTTCACAGTTCAGGTTCAACTTGCAACAGGAATATATTTTTGAACAAAGATGATTTTCAGATTTTGGACAACAAAATTTAACATTAAACATTTTGTTACTATAGCCTAAAAACATCTGTGTCAGCGATAAACAAAGATAACATTACCTTACTTCCAATATAGGAGGGGGGGGGGGGGGGGGGGGATTTTGAAGAGGTAAGGAAAATTAATTTTCAGAAAGGTTAAAAATCCCTACCTTGCAGACAGCAAGATGCTTCTTCAGAAGGGTTGGAGAACACAGTAGTTTAGAACAGTTGGGACACTTGCCTACAGGAAAGACCGTTTTGGAATTGATGTGAAACAATTGAAGGTACTGTAGACAGAGGCGTATTCAGGGGGGGGCTATTGGGGCTAAGCCCCCCCCTGGACCAGTGAAATCTATTGATTTCAGGGGGTTTTCATGCCCCAAAAAGGGGCTGAGCCCCCCCTGGGATGAACAAAATTAACCCCCCCCTGGACAAATTCCTGAATACGCCCCTTACTGTAAACGTAATTTAAAGTAACCCTCCATGTCTAGAGTGGTATGTTCGATTCACAACGGTGGCCATTAAAGTATAGTATGATCTAGAATAAATAGAACATGTCTTTACCAACTTTTTGAATTGTGGTTTCTCTAATTCTACAATCCTAACCAGAAAACTCCGTAATAGGATAACGACTATATAACAATACGTAAGTGTATTTGATGTTGTTAGAAAGCAAATAGGTTTACGAGACATTTAATAAATCACATATCAAGTGAAATGGGTCTGTTTACACTGAACAATTTCCCGGGCTCATTGGACTATCTAAAGTCATAATTTGAGCTTAAAAGTCGTCTTTCTTATTACAGAGTTTTCTGGTCATCACTGGTCACTAGCAATTTAAAGCAGCGATGAAAAAAAAGAAGTTTCAATATTTCAAGATAGAAAACGAAGATATCTTCCTCATGATTAGTCCAATAAAGGACTAAAACGGAGTTGTAAAAAGGACATGTTACGTTTTTTTAAATTGATGATCACTTGGTACAGGTTCCAGAAAGACACTTCGGATTTATTTATCGTATTTATAATCGTATTTGCTGTAACATTTTACTCTTGCAACAGATGTTAACCAAAACTATACTTTTTAAAGGACCTTGATAGTAAAAAATAACTCTTCCCGTCTAAAAACTTACCCAGCACTTCACGTTCCTCCGGGGTAAACGCCACATGGAAGTCTTTAGTGCGTCGTCTTAATCTAAAATATATTTATAAATGTTTATACATTGTTAAATAGATTACCATTATTATTGTTATATGTTTATGGGTTTCTATAGTGATAATAAGCTCTTAAATGTTACTTTTCAAACCACCATTATTCCTACATACTTAAAATCGAAAATTGCCGTTTTTATTTTAAAATAGAATGTATTTCCAAAAATTATAAATCCACATTTTTTAAAAAGTTAAATTTGTAATTTGACCCGTGTCATTAGAGGTCCTACAAATAATTTGGGCATGATATATTTAGCCGATTTCACGTTATGAGATTTACAAAATATCAAGGCTTCAATTTATTTCGTAAAATCCCAGCAAATTGACATTCCTATTTTCTATCGTTATTATTTAATTAATAAATAGTAAACCTGACAAGTTCATCTCGATGTTGTTTTCTGTGCAGAATATATTCTTTCTTGTTATTCCATATCAATCCACACTTCTTACATTCATAACACTTCCTGACCAAATAATACATTTTCTACACTTCTTACATTCAAAACACTTCTTGACCTAACAATACATTTTCCCCACTTATTACATTCATAACACTTCCTGGACAAATAATACATTTTCTACACTTATTACATTCAAACACTTCCTGGACAAATAATACATTTTCTACACTTATTACATTCAAACCCTTCCTGGACAAATAATACATTTTCTACACTTATTACATTCATAAAACTTCCTGGACAAATAATACATTTTCCACACTTAATAAATCCATAACACTTCCTGGACAAATAATACATTTTCCGCACGTCTTACATTCATAACACTTCCTGGACAAATAATACATTTTCTACACTTATTACATTCAAACACTTCCTGGACAAATAGTACATTTTCTACACTTCTTACATTCAAAACACTTCTTGACCTAACAATACATTTTCCCCACTTATTACATTCATAACACTTCCTGGATAAATAATACATTTTCTACACTTATTACATTCATAACACTTCCTGGACAAATAATACATTTTCTACACTTATTACATTCAAACACTTTCTGGACAAATAATACATTTTCTTCACTTATTACATTCATAACACTTCCTGGACAAATAATACATTTTCTACACTTAT